GATTGGTTAGTAGTAGAGAAACAGAACCATCTAGTTGTCATGCACTGGCGATTACGCAGGATTTTTTAAGGGAGGGGGGGGGGGGTAAAATTTGAAAATCACGCCGAAAATTTCGCAACGACTCAGCGAACCGCTGAATAAGCGGTGGGGGGGGGGGGGGGGGGGGTAAGAGGACATATTTTTTTATTTTTGTGTCCCAAAATTTGTCCGATCGGTATTTCGTTTCCTTGGGGGAGGGGGTATGGTCGGCTTTTTGGGGTCATTCATTACAACTTTTTATTTTATTTTGTATTATTATTATTTATTTTTTATTTAAAAAAATATTAAAAAAGGGAGGTTTTTCAGTTTTTCCTCCAAAACATACACATAAAAAAATTCAAGAGGGGGGTAACCCCCCCCCCCCCCCCCTGCGTACGCGCCTGGTCATGTAAATGTGTGCATATTACGCGCTTTTTGTTGGCATTGTTAAATCAGGAGTTTATCTTCTTATTAATTCCAAACTTATAGCAAAGGTATCTGTAGACTGTACCTTAATTGCATTGTTATTGGAGCATTTCTTATTTAAACCCTTGGTTTCATCAAGACGACTGGTTACCTTTTACGCAACACTAAGTCTGCGTGCAAATCTAAAAGTCCCTTTTTAAGAAAATCTACGACGAACGAGAATTCACCATAATTAAGACCACTTTCGTGGTGCTATCCGGTTTAGAGCATGAGTCTTTGTTGGTTGCTATTTATGTTGCAGAATGTTCCATTCACATGTTACAGATTGTTGTTTTTCGATGAGTGGTCGGAGTGCGAATCGCTTACATTGGTAGTTGCTGGGTGGGATCAACATTATGGTTTGTCCTATAACAGCAATGAATGTGTAATACGCATGGGCGGCGATCCGGGAGGGGGGGGGGGCCTCAATTTGTTTAGGGGGTAAGCACAGTTTACACTATGCTCCCTCGTCCCTCGCCTTTCACCCCCCCCCCTCTCCCCTCCCCACCCGGTCATGAAAAGAAATCGCCGCACCAGGGTGGTGATACGCAATCTGGCTGTTGGAGTGCAAGATGCCATTTTGGGTAATAATGTAACCAGATTTATGCATATGCCTTCATGGAGCGCCTCAAAGCGAATGTAACGAATAAAAGTAATGTATCTCAACAGTAAGAATTTAAATTGCGCACACTAGTTGTTGCTAGGTATGACAAAGCTTCATTGTGGCCCCCCCCCTTCCTAACATCATGTAATAATAATATGCAATTTGCTTTCTGACTATTTAAATACAATTATTCGCTACAGGTGGATGAAATAATTGTATCAAGGCGCTTATAAGTATAATTTGGTTACACTACACTGCAGCTCGTCTTATATCACTTTGTAAGAGAAACTATATAACACAGGTATAACCAAGGAGTTTTTAGAGATGGAGTCATATCTAGCTCATTCCCTTATCTTTAAATACCAAGTTTCTTGCCTATAGCTGCAAAATAACGGGCCACTTTCAAAGGGAAATATGCTTTTGTAATGATAATTATTGTTCGCTACTACTCGTCCGATTACACGAGTATAGTGTTTACCTTTACAGGAGGCATTTTCTGAGATATTAATCAAAATTACACGACTATATGTAGGCACTAATCTGATATATAACATCATAAAGAACTGTACAAGAACAAATTCACTTTTTTTTTTCGTGAGTAATCGGAAAAGCGTCAAATTGCAGGTTTTAGGATTGTAACATTTTACTATTTTTACAAATTAAAACAATATCATACAAGGTATTCAAATTTCTTGTCTCAATTAGGCTTTTGTATTCATATTTTCTCATCTAGCTGTTCGATTTTCCCCTTATTTAGTTCAAATAAAAGGTGCAATATTAACGATGTTTCTTTGTGAACAAAACCACTACTCAAGCTTTCCAATTATATCGGCGGCTTTGAACCTCGGACATCAAAGGTAACAGCACATTTGAAGATTGTGCATCCTTATAGAAAGCGGCAGCTGCTTGGCATAATTTGAGCGTTTTCTAAGGATGCACAACAGAATCTACAAGTGTGCTGTTACCTTTGATGTCCGAGATTCGAAGCCGCCAATATAATTGGAAAGCTTGAGTAGCGGTTTTGTTTACAAAGAAATATTGTTAATATTACAAGTTTAAATGAGGGGTATCACAAATAAAAATTATCTTCTTCCCAAAGGCAGGGTTTTATTACATTGTTATTCAAGAAGGGGGATAGGGGTTTATTTAGACAATTGGAGACTAATTTCGTTATTAAATAATGATTATAAAATTGCGGCAAGAGTACTGTTTAAAAGACTTCAACGTGTTTTATCAAGTATTATTTCAACTGATCAAAGAGGTTTTATAAAGAAAATGTCCGCAGCAGAAAACAGACGAATAGTACAAGATGTGATCGACTATTTAAAGACATCCAGTAGTTCAGGGATTATATTCTTTTTGGATTAAAAAAAAGCATTCGACAATGCCATCCCTATTTTTCCTATTTCATGTACTACGTAACTTCAATTTCAAAGAATCTTTTATCACCTGGATAAAGACCTTCACTGACGCCATCGGTCGTGTGATGAATAATGGAAAGTTTAAAAAAGTTGATTATTGAAAGAGGAGTTCGCCAGGGTTGGCCATTATCAGCATTACTTTTTAACAAAGTAGTGGATATATAAGCATCAAAATAAGACAAAATAAAAAGATTAAAGGGATTGATATATTCATTGTTGATTTAAGTATTGATAGTTTAAAAAGGTCCCAATATGCAGATGACACGACATTATTTGTAGAATCTGAATGAAATTAACGATTTTGGAGACTATGCAGGTCCGAAAATGAATTGGAATAAGACAGAAGTTATGAAACTGAATATTGTAGATACTTTTGTTCATGATAATGCCATTATATATACTGATCAACCTGTTAAATATCTAGGAGTATATGTAGGCAAAAATAAGGAATGGTTACAAGATTTAAAATGGAATGTAAGAATAGATAAAATTCGGAATGTATTAAATAATGGAAAATGAGAGATCTTACTTTTTATGGTATAATAGTTGTTTTGAAAATGTTAACGGCGTCAAAATTTGTGTATACCGCAAAATTAATGTTGTTCCAGTATCAAAACATGTTTTATATGAATAGACTATTATTTTGTTTCTTAATGAATTCCAAAAAAGATAACAAATTAAACGTAATGTAATATTATAAGTGATATTGAAAATAGTGGATTGAATATAATTGGTATTGGTAGTAAAATAACTTCACTTCGTTTCTCATGGATATATTTCTTTTTTTTAATGATAATGGCTCTGAAAAATATGTTTACATACTGGTCCGATAAAATAGGGGATTTGCCACTTTGTTTACATTTCAATTGTAACATAACAGATATGAATTTATTATGCTCCAAACATAATTTGCCAGGATTCTATGTAGATATTTTCTGTACTTGGTCAGAACTAAGATTCATTGATATGTTTAAAGTAAGAAATATTCCAAATGAAATTATTTGGAAAAATAGATGCAGGTTTATTGAAAATTCATATTTGATTACAAATGGTATTTGGAATGACTCTACTTTAATAAATACAAAAGTGAAAGCAACACAGCTCTTATTTGATTTTAAAAATACAAAATTAAAGAAAGCATTTCCGCAGTGTTGGTTAGATAGATTAAGCTATGTGAATGATTTGAACACGAATGTGATATTTTCGAATCTTAGAGAAGTAGAAACAGGGGATAAAGTGCAGGCGCGTACGCAGGGGGGGGGGGGGGGGGGGGGTTACCCTCAATTTTGTCTAATGTGTTTGTTTTGGAGGAAAAAAAAACCTCTAATTTTTTTAATGAAAAAAAGAAGAAAAAACAACAACAAAATTGTGCTAAAGGGTGACAAAAAATTGACCTTACCCCCCCCCCCCCTACTGAACGCAATATAGGTCGGCCAAATTTTCCAATTTCCGGGACAAAAAATTGCTCTTTCCCCCCCGCCCCCCCCCCCCCCCCCCCCCCGCTTATTCACCGGCTGGCTAAGTCGTTGCGAAATTGTCGGCGCGATTTTCACTCAATTTTTCACTTTATGTTATATTGCAAGGATGTGATTATGTTTTGGAATATAACTAGTAATTTGATATTTTACCTATTTCAAGTAGAACTACAAATAAAACAAATAATATTAATTGTAGGTAAGGACATTGGAAACAAGAAATAAATTCTCTCCTGAATATTACTTTTAATTATGCGAAATGTGCAATTTATAAATGTTACGTTAAGAAGATTGTTAATGGTTCTATTCATTACCTAAACCACATACTTTGTCTTTTTTCCCTGGGGGAAAAACAGGTAAAAACACGTTAATTTTACCCTTTTTTTTATTTTTTAGATGGGCCCCCTCCCCTGGCGCTCAAGAGGGGGGGGGTGCGATTTTTCTAATTTTCGTCTGCCCCTTAGTATAATCGCAGTTTACGAGAGAAATCTGGTTAGCAAATGATTCAACGTTTCATTTATTCTACCTAGATTTTATTTAATTGTTAATAATAGACTTACAAGGAAAAAAGCATAAAAAGCATCATAAAATTAAAAACATGATAATATACAATAACTGAATACAAGGAAATGCATACAATAACTGAATACAAGAAAATGCATACAATAACTGATTAAAAGGAAATGGCAAGGTCATAAAAGCTTTAAAAAAAGCTGAATCACTGAATAGATCATGAACCCCCGTCCCCCTCTAACATGAGATGAGACGACATCTCATTTACATGCAATCACCATGATCACTTATACATTGTACGAGTCAAGAATTAATGCACGATTTTTAAAAGAGTATTCTAATGTATAATGTATGATTATAATTCCTTTTTCTAATAACGTATGTCAGGGGGAAAGGGCAACCGGGAAAAGCACATAAATATTAAGACCCTATTATACCGAGCTGGTACGGGTCAAGTCTCGATATCGAGTCCTCATTTACCGCATTTGGTACGTACCTGTGGCCGAGATGTCTAGGTGACAAATCTGACAGTGGACATGTGAAGACCTTCTTTGAAACATTCTTTTTCAGTGTTTTATGTCACATTTTTTAGACTCTAACCTGTGGGGGATCAGGACTGAGTGTCACTTGCAATACCTTTCGTATTAATAAAATGGCAGACACAATTAATATCGCATTGCGGAGAACATCTGGAGCCTCAGACGAAAGGTAAACAAGACTTGAGCAAAACAATGTTCCCACGTGCTAATTTTCATGTAAAGTAAATATTGTAATCATATGGGGCCTGAGGGAGCTCGGAGAGGTGTGCGTTAACTCCAGACACACATAGCTGCATTACTATCCTGGTTGTGTATTAAAACCTGTTCTATTGATCTTCAATCACCACTGTACAAAATTCAACCGATTTCACTCAAAATCACTAGATAGATGTCTAGACTTAAGAGTTTAATGACAATTAATGCATGATGACACCTACAATTAAAAATAAAGAAAAAGCGATAGGGCATAAAATACATTTGTTTCAACTTACCGATGTGAGCAGGTTAGAAAGAATTTGAAATTACAGATAACTTTTAAACTGATCATTAATTAGTCACCTTGTTAGTGACCGTAATGATCATCATCAATTCATAACTTGCATGAATTAAATGAGGATGTGAGATTACAGTCGCTAGCTTCATGCACTGGCGCTCCCGCACCCCATCCTCAGTATGCACTTGTATTGTGCAGCTGTTTGCCGTGAAACCTGTGAGAAAGTGCATGTATTCACCTCTTCACCTGTCTTTTCGGGCTCCTTAGTAAGACAATGTCTTGTAGTTGTAATGCCCTCCCATAGTTCATCAGTACGCCTACACCACTGCAAATAGTTTGTTCCTTAATAGAATAGGTCCATCGCTGGATCTGTGGGAAGACTCAACAGAATTATCACCTGCTGGGCCTATAACTAAACTTGTCGAGCTGTGTTGAAAGATAGGCATCCACCTCCGATTTGAAGCTGTATACTAATGTCTTCGTTCTTAGGAAAAATACTCCAAAAAATATAAGAAAATTAGACACAAAACAAGGAAAGATACCCGACTAATGACTTTTAAATCATGACAATAATTTGAACAATTGTTAAAGATTTAGTTGATTTTTGGTATGTTATAGTAGGGTATCTCTATTCAAGTGCTATGTTATGTCGTGTTATAATGCCAATGTTGTCTCCTGCAGTGACATCATATGCTATTGCACAATACAGCTCCGGAATTGGGCTTTTTTTTTTCCTGAGCGGTCTGAGTCGTCATTTTTAAATCTAGATTCTAGAATTATTGATGTTTTCTAAGAATAATCATTGTCATATTTGGAATCTGCGTCAAAAATTCTTCTCCATCATTTATTTTTAATTTCAAGCCCGTTTTGATTAGTGGGGCCCTTTAAGAAGCACGTAGAGATGTTATCATGATATTCACTAATCGAGTAATATATATGACAAATATCATTTCAAATTTTTTCAAATCTTAATTTCAGCAACACTAGTGATGCATTTGACAGTCTGCCCTCTTCTGTAACTACTGATCCATCATCGATCACTAGTTCTCCATCTAAACCAGTCAGGAAGAGAACCATTTCTACCGGTGGTTCGGGTGATACGGTCATCAGAACATCTAATAGAACTATCTACACCGCTGGAAGACCCCCGTGGTATAACTCACAGGGACAGCTTCATGAGGCTTTTGTCATAGGTATGATACAGATAACTTTGAAACTGATCATTAATAAGTCACCTTGTAAATGAGATAACATGCAAATAAATGATTTTAATAGGCCATCTTCGTAAGTTAACCATATTTATACTTGCATATATTATGTGTTGTTAGTTAGGGCAAGCCATCAATTTTGCCATACCTAGCAACAACTAATGTATGCTAGAACCCACTATTTTTCTTCTGTTCTGAATGCAGGGTTATGTGGAGGCAGTGCATCTGGGAAGACCACTGTAGCCAATGAAATCATCAAAGCATTGGATGTACCATGGGTTAGTCTCCTCTCAATGGACTCATTCTACAAGGTGGGTCAACTAGTCTTCAGTCAAGGCTACTTTTTCTTGATTTTGTGTTTGTAATTGCAGTTATTGAAAAGACCTCTCAATATATTGAAGATGACACAGTTTTCAGAATAACACCTCTGGGGCGGTATTCTGAACATTGTTGTAAGTTTTGTGTTATCTTTTGTTGTATCTTCCAGAATAACACAGCGCTAATATTGTTGTAAGTTGGTATTCTGAACATTGTTTTATCCCTATGTTATCTCTTGAAGGACCGCCTCTATCTTATCTTTGACCATTGATGACATGCCCATTTTTATGGAACCTACCAATCAAAATCTATTTATATAAGCATGATAAATAGGTCAACCAATAGGAATACTTAATGCCATATCTGAAGATGCGCCTAGCGCATACTAATCTTGGGTGTAATTAGTTATTTGAGCACTTATTACGCTCGTCATCATTATGCGCTGTTGAATGTGGATCATGAAGAAAAATCATGCTTTCACTATATTGGTTAAGATGAGAGCATTAAAATCGTCATATCCTAGCATGTAATATCTTAAAAAGTTCTCATCTGTGATGTTTCCGGTCAACACACAATCTTCTTCTAACTCGTCTATTGGCACGAAGTTGGTTCTGGGCAAAAAATATTGCCGCCATTATATCACCACGAAAGATACAACAACCCCTACCTGTTGTAAATATTGTTGTAAATACCATGCAAGATAAGATAAGATAAAAGATACAACAACTTTCAGAATACCAATTATCTTGACATATTATCTCCCGTGCGCATATGCAAATGAGGATTAAATGCCACTTTATTAATAATACGCACAATTACAAGCGCACCAAAGTATGAGCGCAGGCACAGCCAATAAGATGAGAGAAAAGATACAACAAAAGATAACACAAAAGTTACAACAATGTTCAGAATACCAACTTTATCTTATCTTCAAAGATACAACAATATTAGAGATAACACAGGGTTCAGAATACCGCCTCTGGTTTCAGTTCTGTATGTATGTGTTGTGAAATGTGATACATCAATAATGAGAGATGTTTGATACCATTATTTTTATACAGGTGTTGAGCCCCAAGCAGCACGAACAAGCCAACAGAAATGAGTACAACTTTGATCATCCGGATGCCTTTGATTTTGAACTTCTTGTGGAGACGTTGAAGAAACTCAAGGAAGGGAAGCATGTAGAGGTTTGTCATCCTTCAAGTCAAAATAACAAAAAGCAAAACAGAAACAAAAAACAAATGCATAAATGATTAAAAAAATCATACCACCACCACCATCATCACCACTACTAACAACAAAAGCAGCAGCAACAACAACAACAACAGCAGCAACATCAATGACAACATCAAAGCAGAAACAACACCAGCAACAATAAGAGCACCAATAAGACAACATCAACAACAACAGGGGTGGAAAACAACAACAACACAAATGCGCATTTCTTGATATAGTAATTAGTCAAGTATAGAGTGAAAAACATTAAACTGTCCAAGTTTATAGCCCATGTAAAGTTTGAGCTTCCAAAGACACGGTGAGATTTTACCTGATGTTAATTAATTGGCAAATCCAAGTTGTTTTGGCCTGGAAAATTACTGACCATGTCTCTGATTATGGTATATATTGTTTCTGGTTGATTGCTATACTATAGCTTGGATCAGATCAAATATGAAATATAATGACATAGTTCATGTCAATATATGATTTTGACTCAAAACTTGGTATCATGTGGAAAATCAAATTACCAAAATACCGTTGACTTGCCCTGATATAGAGAGAGCTGCTACTAGTTATAAGCTTCTGTTTTAGATTTACTATTCTTATCCAGCTGTAGGAATAAAAATACAAATGTTGCCCTCTTTTCTGTAGACTTGCAGCATACAACAATTTACTTTTGCATCAAAGCAATTGTGATGATATGCAATTCCTTTGAAAATTGATATTTCTCTTTCAAAGGTATGAAGAATTTGTCTCTTCTAGTCTTATAACCTGTGATGTTTCTTTATGTTTTATGGTTCAGGTTCCAGTGTATAATTTCACAACGCACAGTAGAGAAAGAGAAATGGTAAGCTTCCCAATTACTTCTGTTATAGAAAAAAATAAAAAGATCCGTGAATTTTCATGAGTTATCAATATGATTTGAAAAACTATGAAAAACTATGAATATCCTGTTGTTAACTGTGTACATGTATTTTTGACTTGATATTTCTACCTCCTAATCAGGTATTGAAATTAAACATGGAATTCATCTTGTAAAATTTCAAGAAAAAAATGTTATTTACGACCCCATGCAATAATTTCTAAAAGACTTCAATATTTCAGCATTTACTTCTACTTGAGGGCCCCGTCTTAAGTTGCAATTGATCCAAATCAATCGTAAGTCCTCCAAGCGATCTCCAGTTTGCATTTTCCTCTCTTTTATGTACATAGTTGCGATTTATATCAATCGCAAATAAGTTGCGATTGATATCAACTCTTTGTGAGATGGGGCCCAGATGTGAACTCTTTCTAATTTTCATTGTTTGTAATTTTTTATTTTCAGAAAACTATGTATGGTGCCAATGTTGTCATTTTCGAAGGAATTATGGCATTTGCGAAGAAAGAACTCATAGATGTAAGTTACATGTATGCTGACTTCTCCTTCTCCTTCGAACTGTATGTCCACAACCATTTGACTATAAAAGCTAGTACATAGTGTTACCGAAAATCCTACAGAGAATGTCTTGTCAGTGAATGTTTTACAGTGAAACCTGCTTTAGCAACCATATATATATATATATATATATATAAATATAAAGTGCGAGAATTCTCAACTCTGACATGACAACAGGTGTTCCAGAATATGTAGGCGTGAATAAAATGGTCTAGGAACGTGAGACGTAGCTGTACTTTTCAATTTTATTACAAGCTTTCGGCTTGTGAGGCCTCCTTCAGGGTATATATATCTAGAAAGACCACCTGTCTATAAAGACTACATTTTCTGTTTCCCTTGAATATTGTTTCTCATTGAAATGTGTACTCAAAAACCTATACATAAAGAGCACTGTTATTGCTCCCTTGAGTGGTCTTTACCTACAGGTTTCTCTGTATTTGTATGTCTCAAACAGGCTGAAGTTACGGAGTATAAAGACAAATGGTATACACCAGTATTTCATTTCTGAGCTTTTAACAGATTACATTAGCAATGTAGGCCTAGTGTTTTTACCCAAATTAGTTTATTTGTTTTATTCCCCAATAATTTTAGAAAGATATCAGGAAAACTATTTTCTTTTTGATGGCTTGTGTTTGAATAGAAAGTAACGTAATATCCTATCAGTAGAATGGATTGTTTTATAAAGAATTTTTTTGGCTTGTACCCAGTAGATAGAGATCGCGTGCTCGATGTTGTAATTGAAAACAAGTCAGAAAAATCTTAGAATCAGAATCAATTGTTGTTGCCATCCTTATTATTCATTCTAACACACTATTGCTGCTGTGCTGTCAAATATTTTTTTCCCACACAGGTTATGGACCTCAAGATTTTCGTAGACACCGATTCAGACATCAGGCTTGCACGGAGACTAAAGCGGGACATCACTGACAGGGGGCGTGGCCTGGAAGGAGTCATCAAACAGTATAATAAATTTGTGAAGCCAGCGTTTGAGCAGTTTATCGAGCCTTCTATTCAGCATGCAGATATTGTAGTGCCAAGAGGTCAGTAGTTGGGCTCATTTCTCCAAGAATCATATATTTGTAGAGGTGTTCTGGTCTAGAGTAGAGGATAAGTCGATGGACTGTAGATCACAAGGTACAGGGTTCAAATCCCAGCCCGACACTAACGTCCTTTGACAAGACGTTAATCTACATTTGCCTATCTAAACCCAGGTGCTAAATGGGTACCTGGTAGGATACGAATGTTAATGGCGTAAATGGTGCCTGGCTGTTATACTGCCCAGGGAATGGAGACATTATGTGCGGGCAAGCTTGAATCCAATGACCAGGGTACTATTATATCTGTAAAGCACTTAGAGACATTGTCGATGTATTAAGCACTATGTAAATGCGGAATATATTTTATTTCTTAAAGGGAAATCCAACCTTGATAGCAAACTACTCTTAAAGAAAGCAGAGAAGCAGACTGGTGAAAGTTTGAACGAAATCTGAAAAAAAAGTAATGTATTGTAGTTCATTCATTAATAACGGAGGGGTTAATGGAATACCCCGTCACTACAGTGTAGGTCCCCAGGAAAGAAACATCCGTAAATTTGAATACAGGTGCATGTTGGTAAACCGGTTTATTTCCTCATCAAAAGCTTAATTTTCTCTCCTTATTCACCGTACTATCCTTACTAAATATGTTGATATACCTACAGGAGCTGAGAATGAGGTTGCGATGATCCTTATCGTCCAGCATGTACATGACCAACTCACATTGGTGAGTATACAAGATTCTTTTCTCCAGAATAGAAAAAAAAAACTTCCTTTTGTTCTTAGGAGCTCTTTTAGGTATGGAGGAGGAGATGCGCCTATTTACATGCTATTATGTGCTCTCTCATTTTCTGTTAATTAAAGTATCTTTTTGTGATCTTCATGATTTTATATTTACGCTAATGGAAGAAGTTTATACCAGGAACCTACTGGAAATTTCTGTATTGTTATATTCATCAATTGTGAAGATTTAATGAAAAAGTGCTTAGAGACTTCAGTGGAAAGCACTTTATAAGCACCGTTTTATTATTATCATATATCATGAGTAGGAACTAGGAAATGTGGATTTTCTCGCATTCAATGTTGTACATGGACGTATATGCATTCAATTTTCCCCCTTTTTTGTTATAGCCAGAGCTCCTCTCAGAGCTGACCATAACTAAATCTTTTACTTTTCTCAAAGAAGATTTAATATAAGTTATTATATTATGCTAGAGGATTGATCATTTATGCTAGGAAGTTGAAGCTTATGAATTCCACCAATATTGCAGTTGAATAATCTGTATTCATCAATGCCTGGTGTACGAGATTTTGAAAAGATCCTTTTGCTTGTACAGTGTGTGACGTATACTGATGCACATTCTGAAAATATGGCCTATAAATCTTGTATTTTTGTCCTTCTTTTCTTTTCCAGAGAGGGTTCCAATTCAGGTAAGCAGGCCATCTGTTTTTAGATTCTAGAAAAGGTAGTATGATATAGTCAAACCTGCTTTAGTGACCACCTCTCTACAAAGACCACATTTTGTGTTTCCCTTGAAAATGGTTTCTCATTGAAACATGTACTAAAGGAACCTGTCTACAAAGACCACCCATCTACAAAGATCACTTTTTGTGTTTTCCTTCGGCGGTCGCTATAGACAGGTTTGACTGTATATTTAACCCTATTTTAACTGGGCTATTTCAGACCAGGTTTTTACTGGGGGGGGGGTCAATTTGACCCCCCCCTAAGATCTCGGCCGTTTTACCGCCGATCGCCGCGAAAATTTGCATGCATGTCAAGTGAAGTGTATAGAATACTATGGTAATTTCAAATTTTTGAAAAATTCACTCATTTGCATATTTATGGTAATTTATGCAAATAAGGTCATAAAATTCACATTTCGGCCCATAAATCATAGATTATTCATATTTAAGTATTCTTTTTCACTACATATATTTATTAGACCATTTGGAATAATAATACAACACAAAAATTGGAAGAGCCAGGTTATTCCTTATGTTATCTCTTGTTTTTATAATTTCTTATGTATTTCATTGTTTTTTTAACTTATGTATTTTATTGTTTTTGTTGTTTTATTTCATTTATAACTACAATTCAACTATTTTGACCCCAAAACGAACACCTAAACTTTAAACAAGACTGAATAACCAATGTTTCATCTATTTTTAGGAAAAATGACTTTTACATATGTTTTGTACTCAAATCACGAAAATGAGCGATTTTCGGGCTGACATGCAAAGACAAAAGGTCACGCGACCTTGTAACCGTAGGTCCGATTTTCAAAAAAATTGTTTTAAAAGATGCGTAACACTCGAAAGTAAAAAGTCATGAGAGGAAAATTTTATATCTGCCGCGGTTTCGGAGTAGTCGCGAAATTTCTACAGGGGGGGGGTCAAATTGACCCCCCCCCCCAGTTAACGTAGGGTTAAAGACCCTGTTGGGAGTGGAAAATGAAATAGGTGAACCATACATCAACAGAAAGTTTATAAGTCATAGATTACAATAATATCAAATATCAATTACATTCTATTTCAGTGTCTGTCAGAGGAGTAACAGCTTTCTGAAAACTTGAAATCTAAAGCTTTGAAAAACAGAATTTGTCGACCTAAAACATGCATTCTAATTCTATCACACTTCAATGAATTGTTACATTTGTCTGTAGCAGGTCAATATGAATACATTTACAAACATAACCTACTTATTTTAAATGATCATTTTCTTCTCCCCTGCTAAATCATTGACTTTTCTATTTTGTTGTCTTTGATTTTCTTCAGAGCTGAGCTACCACTAGCTCACGTCAACCAGCCGCTGCCCGACACACTCTATGTAGTTACTAATACGGTCCAGGTCCAAGGGTTGCACACATTTATCAGGTATTAAGCATTCCCCTGATTCATTATTAGACCTATAGAATGAGGAATTTCCTGAAGTTGATTTTATGCATTCTAGCTGTACACAAATTTATTTTGAGGTGATTGGTACACGTCTTTTTGAACCAATTAGCCAAAGCATTTTTTGTGAGTTATATGTGGGACTCCATGTTTGTATTGTATGTTCAAACACTATTTGAGCTTTAAAAATTACTTGTGTAAAAATATATTGTAAGTGTAAAGAACAAACTGCACTCTTTGTAAAGGTTAAATGGACCTTTAAATAGACAAGTCAATGCACTCACTTAAGATTTGGCATGCACAGACGTTCTCGCCCAGTTGTCTTCTTTTTCTCTTTCTCTTTATTTTTATTTTGCACTTTTGCAAATAACTCTAAAATTGACTTGATTTATGTCGTTTCCAATCTTCTTTTCTGACTAGGAATCGTGACACAGGACGTGATGAATTCATCTTCTATTCTCAGAGACTGACCAGGATTCTAATAGAGTACGCTCTCTCACTCCTACCATTCGAGGTAAAAACTCACCTTGAAGAATATTAATGATACTCATGGATTAATATAGTGTACATATTGTAGAAAGATCTAAAAATCATTACTTGCAGAGCCATGTAAAGCTGGTGAATCATTTGATTTCTTTGCGGGCTTGGCTAAAATCACGACTCCAATTTCGACCAATCAGATGACTAGATTTATTCAACATAATGAAATTGGGTAAAAAAGGGAATTGGAGCCGGTACATAACAGGGGCCAAGATTGCTTCATTAATGGATAGATTGAAATGACTACAAACAACGGAATACCTTTTTAAGCTGTTCCCTTCTACTCGAGCCCTTCAAATGCCAAAATCTCCGGGACTTTAGCCTTTGCCCTAGAGCCTGTGTCACATGATGGCTGGGTATTATAATTGCACATCATGTAGAAAATGGACAAAGAAAGAAATCATTTTGATACATGTACAACTTGTACAAGAGGAAGTCATTTCACATTGAAATGGTACAACAATAATCACAGGCCTTGTTGAACTTCCTAGTGATTAATTAATTGTTAGTATATATTTATTTGATTGGCTTGTTTCAGGACTGCATTGTAGAAACACCACAGAATACCAAGTATGCAGGCAAGAGATTCAAAGGCAGGGTAAGTATGAAATATGGAACGATCCACAGCTCAGATTTATTTTTAGAGCTACATGTACCATCGGCCATAATGAATTTTGGAATCACAGTCTAACCTGCGCCCTGTTTCACAAACAAGAACAAGTTACAATAACTGTTATAAGCTACTGAAATCATGGCATTTGATTGGCCGAGAGCAAGTTTGTCATCAAAATTCAGTTAGCATTTGTTATTGATAACAAGTTTTAAGAAACAGGGTCCTGCTTTGGCGACCACTTGTATAGAAAGGCCACCTGTCTCTGTAAAGATCACATTTTCTGTCTTGAAAGTAATTTCTCCTTGAAACCTGTACTTAAAGACCACCTGCTTATAAATACAAAGACAGTGTTTCTTGTCTCCCCAAAGTGGTCTTTATATACAGGTTTCACTAGAGCTGGAGCAGACCAAATATCGAAGAAAATGACACCATAAAAGTAAATTGCTGTTCATTTTCCATTATTCTTGATAACATCTGGGACAGCAAATGACCAAATACCTCGGACTTGCACTTCTACAATGCAAATTGGTTAGCTCATTAAATCACTCTGACTTGCAGATGTAATGTCATTACATGTACAGAGACCATAGGAGATGCAGAAACAATTCTCGCTATCCTAAATAGGTACGAAAATCTCGAAATTCGCGAGACGAGGTAATTTTCACTCTCTCGGGTCGTCACTACAACTTCCGGTATAGAGTCCCATCCCAAGTCACGGCCTTCATCCACCCCCATTTTTCAGGGTTCTTATGCTTGGAATCATGAGCCCAGCACTGTGCAGCCTCACAAAAGAAAACCATCGTCACTGATGTCAAAAGACGCAAAAAACAACGAATGAAATGTTCAAATAAACGTTGAAATATTTGCGAAAAAAACCCAAAACCGAGCAGACGACATATTCGGTGCATACACGTTGTGTGGCGACGGCGTTTTACGTTTGCGCTATCGCGCGCCTGCACAGGAAGCTGTAATGTCGAAAAGCTATCCCATAATGCAATGCGCGTTTTCAGGATTTTCCCCGGATCTCGGCAGAATCGCTATTTGGGGTAGCGAGAATTGTTTTCTAGTTTAAAGACACATAGTAGTGGGCTCTCTTGGGGAATTCAACATGATTCTGGTGTTTACCCATTAGAACAGGTGTTGTCAATCACCAGGATTAGCCTTAAGTTTTATGACCTATAGGCCTTTAATATGTATTAAATGCTCTGCATTTTCTGGTTACTAATTAATCGCAACATAAGGATTAGTCATTATCTTACATTTCCCTCATCCAAAGGCTCGCTGAGAGACTAGGGGGTATTTCTCGGTGGGGCCATGGGTTGGCTGTGCACAGACTTGTACACCCATTAGTGGTATTTCCACCAAGTCTGGTGTCAGCGAATTATGACCGGCTACACATGGAAACTGACTACCACCTCCCTTTAATCCAAACGTTTTGTCCTTGTCTTGTACATTGATGCCCATGTAAGTGTTTAGCCGTTCAATATGTTTCGTTTTGATACATATCATATATATCATGTGTGCAGTCAATACACACTTGCTGATGAAGGACCCTTGCATGTATTACACTATAGAAGGGAAGGTGTGGGGAGGGGCTTTTAGTACATGTGTCAGGTGTACAGATAATCCTTTCGATGTAAAGATCTTCTTAACCGTTCCTTTTCTTATTAAAGTGAATTGAATTGAATTCATTTACAACAACACATCACAATAATGACAGTATATGAACAATCATACATTTTAAAGAATAATATGATACCGTATAAATACATAAAGGAAGAGTAATGTTTAAAAATGTTAAAAACTCTAGACATAGATATGCATACCATTTAATGTACAAGATATACATGTAAATATGTGTATTACTCATATTAAAGGGAATGTTATTGTTGGGAACTAGAAGTGAGTGCAAGTGCTAGTCGTGCCTCATTCCACACTTTGACAAGATTTGAAAACAAAAATATATGCATGTAAACTTATTGGTTATTATTGTAAATTTTTTATTGGTTATCTGATAATGGCAAAGTTTAAGAACCTTACTGTGTGCTATCTCAAATGTGTGTGTTTCTCTCGTGTACAGCATACAAATTCATACGGATCGACACTTACATGTATGAGTATGATTTGAATATTGTTCGATCATCTGCAATCATCAATATTCATAGTGTGATCGTACACTCTATGTTGTGATTTTAGCAGATGATGTTCTAAATTGCCCAGCTAAAACCTGAATACCACATGGCAGTAGAGATCACACTTGAAAATCATTGGCTAGTATTCATGCAAGTATAATACATACACTATAACTTTAGGCATGGTTTCATCATTAAGAAAAGTGGATGGAGTTTGTTGGTACACTGATATATGGACTGTTTGTTGGTGTTTACTCTATCCATCCAGTAAGGATGAGATGTAGCATACTTCTGAAACTAATTGAGTAAACACAAAGTCATGTCATCATGAAATTAATTTTTATTTTTTATTTTATGACTGCAATCAGTCTCTCTTTCTTTCTCTCTTCTTTTCTCTTTCTCTCTCTCTCCTTTTCTCTCTCTTTCTCCCTCTCTCTCTTTTAATTTTTTTTTGGTTTTAATTGTGCTTTGCTCCATATTGCAGTGGACTATTAAAAGCTATATGTCTTTTTAATTTGGTCCACTTTTGAATACAAAAGGTTAAACATTTTGTTAATGTATATGATGCATAACCTTAAGTTGAACTCGATTTAAGACACGTGCAGTAGTGAACAAACAAAACATGCATTTAGAAAGAAACTTAGACTATCACAAGTTGGAGTTTTTGACATTCTTCATTCCCCCTTTCCAGAACAGCATTGCCATTATTGTATTAACCAGGGACCTGTTTCACAAAGCCTTTTTTCAATGACAAATGACAAAAATCAGTGACAAATCTGCTGATAACCAATAAGAAGCAAGGATTTCAATAGCTTATAACAAAATCTGTCATTTGTCACTGATGACAAGTTTTGTGAAACACCCCCAGGTGTCTTGGTCAAGAGGATATAAATCGCCCATCTGTGAATCAAATGGTTCACAGTTTGGATCCCAGCCGTGGCTCCTATGTCCTTTAGCCTAGTGTCATTTTACAAGGCATTGATCTATACTTAGCCACTCTTTACCCGGGTGTAGGTAATAGGATACCATGGGTACCAGGTAGGAAATAATGCCTTGAATGATTCATTGCAGCACCTTTGGGCAGATTTGCTAACTTTAGGATAATGGTAGCTCTTTGTAGATACAGTCAAACCTGTCTTAGTGGCAAGCTCTCTGTTAAAGACAGTCAATACTACTGGGCCAGACGGGATTAAACCACACAGCAAGGTCACTGACAGGTGGCTATCTCATTAACTCAGCTCTCAACTAACATAAGAAAAAGAGGATCATGGGGGACCAACAGGCACCGATTGGGGAAGTTTTCTATATAGAGAGAGCAGGTAGCTACAAGTAGGACAGTGGGGCTTTAAGGCCACCTGAAGACAGTGGTTGTGTAATTTATCTCCCTCTGGTAAAAAATGCATGTAGTAGAACCTGCCTAGAAAGGCCACCTGTCAATGGCCACTTGTTCTGATACCCTTGGGTGACCTTTATAGACAGGTTTGACTGTATGTGTATGTAACTTGGTGATTCACTGGGTTGGATACATGATATAAATTTAACAACTAAATTATTCAGAACCTCACCAAGGTTTGATATTTTTTAAGTATGTGAAAAATTCATTTGTACGGATGTACGTTTCTTGAGAATATGACATATATTTAAGCTTACATCTAAAAGCATTTAAGAAAGTCCCTAATTCAACCATTCTACCTTTCATTCTGGAGGTGAATATGAAAAACACAAAAGCATAACATTTACAAGGGGTGTTAATTATTTAGTTGTTAAGTGCACTTATACATGTGTATCTGGGCAATGTACATTGTATCTACATGTACATGTTAATAGTAAGATATAAATGTACATGTAGCTCTTGTATTAAATTGCCATCATCATTTATTGTATTCATGTTTGTCTTGTAAAGAACTTGAGGTCATGAGAGGTCATGTATATCATCTGTATCGACATGCACAATAAGCACCACCATAAACTCATCATCACCATCATCTTTTCCATTGAGAAATATTTAAAAACATCACCCTTAGGTATGCCATATATATAGCTGAAGAAAAATGTGATGATTTAATTTTTTCCTTTTTGATCTTTACAGTCAAGTGATGGCAAAAATAAGGTTAGTCTTGTGAAACCCAAAATATATTTAATAACAACTCGGCTTGAAGTGAAGTTCATCCATTCGCCAGTCCACTCAAAATATCCTGATTGGTATTTCATTCATGATAACCAGCTATACAAAGTCTCTGGTAAACTAACTTGATTAATTACGGATCAGTCATGGTATATTCCAGCACTTATTCTGCATGTACATTGTATTCTGGGTTTAGTTCAGTGAGAATCTTTACTAAAAGTGAATGATTTGTTTTGTTATTTGAATATTAAGTTTGCCGTGCATTTACATGAATTCCCTCATGAGTTCCAAATGAGTTTCTCTTTTCACTTTTTGATGCAGTAATTTTCTTTGCACTATTATTTTTTTTAACTTTAAAAAAAAATTGTGCAGAAGTGAAACAAGAAATTCTAGGTTCTGTGTCGCAAAATGTACAAAATTGATTACCGGTAGTCATTACCATAGGACTGGGTATGTTTAACTTTATTTATCCATTGAATGTAAACTTAAAATTGGGTTATAATATGGGGAAAATAACATCCATTTTCAATATCTATCTTTATTAATGTGAATGTAGGTTAGGTTTTGGGTAGAACAAGCACAGTTGCTAATCTCTCATCTATTTCTTTCATAAATAAAAGAGAATTTTATTTCAAATTTTACTGGGGTTTCCTCATCAACTAATTTACACATATAAGTGACCTTAGGTGACCTAGGTCATAGGTTATTAAGGCGTAAAGGTTTCAGGTTCTAACATATCTCTAGTGATGGGCTTAAAAGATGAATCATATCGGTGCGATAAACTCATGGTTGTGAATTAAAGCAGTTCATAACATTAATAGAAATGATGTATTCCTTTTTATTATCCAAAGTCTTTTTCTCCCTTGTTTGCTGTTTTTACATTTCAAGCACATCAAAAGCATCATAGCATGTATTTTTTACTGTTCTTTTCTATATCTTGATTTTTTAATAGAAAATAAATTTTAGTTACTAATGTATGATTTACTGCAAAGTACGCTTTTATTTTCGTGAGAATAACTGCTTCAATTTAATATATAGATATCAGCCATCCTCTTAAATATCTTTTTTAAGACTGTCCTGGCTTTAGAAGTGAGGAGTGTAATACTATACATGTAGGTACAATGTAAATCATTTGTCAAACATTGCATTATTATTCCAAATTTGTTGAATTTAGCCTATCTTCACATTTAGAAACATACATGTATATTAATGTTTCTAGAATGATTTAGTAATTTACAAGCAATTTGTGCTATATTTCATCCACCAACATGCTTTTGTTCAATTACAATACAGATTAATTAATACCATACTTGCAAATTTACATACATGTACTTCCATGTAGTGTAACTGCTTTGAAATCATGGAGCATTCCACCATCACTGCAACAAATAAACAGATAATGACACCTGTACAAAAGAACAAAGTATCAAACATATAAAAATACAAATAGCATGCAATCACCAATTGATAGCTTTGTGTGTCTTGTAAGGAATTTAACTTACCGGTATGTCATGGAACAAGTAGTAGTTCTTTGTGAAATTGTAAACCTAGCTTTACTTCAACGCATGCTACTAAAAATCTGCATGGGATTGAGATATTTATAAATTTTTTTTTAAAAGTACTGTGACATTGAAGGTGTGTGTGTGGGTGTGTGCGTGGGTGTGGGGGTGGATGGGTACTAAGAACACTAGGAAGACTGTACCTTCACTCTGAGGACCACTCGCAAGACGAGGACGACCTCTGTTCGAGAACCCAGCAAATTGTTTTAAATATGACACCATTTCCCATAGAGGTATGTTCATTTAGGCACTCTATTTGCATGGAAAAGTAGGTCCTCGGTTTAATCTGCAGTAATTTTTTTTAAAGATATAGACCGGTAGTTGTAAAATTGCGGTTCAAGGATTTAGGGTGCAAAATATCCATTCAATATGGTTCAAATATTGCCTTCAGAGGTTTAGAGGGCAATACTTCAACCTAAATTTGCAAAAAAGCAGAAATATATGCCCAAATGTTCAACGTTGAAGTGCATTCGTGATATCTATCCAGGCCTGATCGATATGATGATTTACCAATCAATTAGTAGGCGGTTTCCGGGCAAAATTTGTATCATCACGTCTTATTAAAAACATATTCTTTTACATGATTGGTAATGAGAGCTTCCATTTCATTTTTTGAGAGGGGGGGGGGGGCGTTTCCAAAACTGGTCTGTACAGGTGTACCTTTAAATCGTCCCCGGGATGTTATATAAAAAAAACATGAGAAGAAAAGTAGGGGGAGGAGTATTTAAAGATATAGACGTACATGTAGAAATCTTATTTTAATCAGGTGTTTAGACCAGCAATACGCTGCGTGAGGCATACTACATATAATAATAATAATTACATTAATAGGGCGTTTTTCTAAGTGTGTCCAATTATAAGCAACTAAATCCATATTTTTGCGTATACTATACATATTTATCGCAGTCATACCGATACGTTCACTTGTTGCAAAGTAAATCCTTGGAAGATGGAATCACCCCATTTTTAATCATTATATCATGTTAGCACACAGAAAGAACTAATACATGTTATAAATCAGCAGGGCTCTTCACTAACTTTTTGGAAGGCGGTCAGGATTGAAATGTTTAAAGTCTGTAACGAAATGTTAGGGTCTAGACCGAGATTTGGGCCGGGTCACCCAGATTTACCGGGAGACTGTTGGTGTTGAGCCCCGATTAAAGAAGAACTAACCCTTTTCAGATTCATTGGAAATAGAGGAAAAAATTAACATTTGAACAGATATGGGACAGCATGAAAGAAATTAAAGGAAACCTATTCATTAGACAATGATTCATGACACTCATATTTCAAGCACAAATTCGAACTTCTTGTATGAGGAACTTAATATAGCAGTCCATACTCTTTTGGTATTTGTAAACTAGGGTTCCATATAGCAATCCACCATCTATCTATTCTATTGAGCTATGAGTACTTACGCAAAATATTTTTCCCCCTTTTCTGGACTTCCAAGTGTACTGAAAAAAAGTTTTGCATGCATAAACATTTTAGTACATTTCATGAAAGGTTCAGTTGTTGCTGCAAAATGGCCGTTTTTAACAGTAACCTTCTCTAATCTCATTGACTTTTTGTTACTGGTTTGCAGCTGTTGGTTTACTGAATTACAGATATTTGTGGATTTCGTGGGAATATTTGTTTAGTATCTCTGAAACATTGGAATTCAATTTGTGCACTGATTTTGGTTGTTACTTCACTGTGAGTAGGTTAGGTTTTCTTTTTCTTGCTGCTGTGAATATTTATTTCATCCTTTACAGAATTAAACCTTGATATATTAGGAAGAGAAGCAGCATTCATGCTTCTAGTTGTCTTCTTTAATAGCATTTAATGTATTTTGATTTCCAAAAAAGTGTAGAAGATGACTGTAGAATAGAAGAATGATAACAACCTGTTTTTAATATAGAGGTTGACTGAATTACAATGCAGTTTCTTGTAATTCTATGCAAGAGCATTACTACATGTAGTTTGCATAACCATATATGGAATTTGGAAAGCAAGCATGAATCGTTATAAAAATGGCAGTGATGCCGTGTAGAAAAAGGAGAGATGAAACATGCACCCTATTTTCCAGTTATGTTTGATTTTTAATTTGTCTTTTCATTTCTAATAAAACCGCCTGATTTTATCATTGTATGATTACAAGTTTACAATCACAGTTGCTATCTTGAAAAACGAAAGATAACTGCTAGAAATCGGATATCCTCTGTAATGATTTACTTAACACATTGATTCTCAGATTGTTATGTAACTAGGCGAAGGAATTGTTTCTTTTACACTTTTTTCTCCTTTGCACTTTGGGTATTTATACTGGTTTTCGGTTAATCATCTAGAAATGGTGAATATGTTCTTCCTTATCTGTTCTTCTTCTACATGAACCCCTTGCAAGATTTCCCCTATTTCTAAAAATGGAATGTTCCAATCATAACTTCCTTTTATGTGCTGTGCAGATATGCGGTGTGTCCATTCTGAGAGCGGGGGAGGTGATGGAGCCTGCATTGAGTGAGGTGTGTAAGGATATCCGCCTAGGGAAGATCCTCATACAGACGAATAACATATCTGGAGAGCCAGAGGTAAGATGTACATCAATTTTGTTTAATTTCCATTCATGGCAAAAATAGATGAGTGGAGTGAATTAAACTAAAACATTATAATAAATGCTAGGAGTAAAATTAAATAAAGGAGAGATTTATCCATTTGTGAATGAAATACTAAAAGAATTAAACTAGAAAATAATAATAAATGCTAAGATTTAAGTAAAATAAAATTTTGATCTAAACTCAACTACATGTACATGTAGCAGCAGCATGTCATGCTATTTGCTAGCTCTCACAGACTAAATGTTCGTCAATTATCACTAATCTTTATAATTGAAATGAAAATGCATTTTATTGTTAGATGTCCATGTATATCCCTGAAAATTCCATTCCTAAGTCCAATCTGGAATTTAATTTGGATAAAATATAACGGGGGTACAGATTACCGAGGACGTATGGCAGTATCATGTAGGGGATTATGAAATTGAGAATAATATGATGGGTAAATAAATCTGATCTGCTTTGAATAGAAGATTCACCCCAAAGAATGTAGGTGTATTCTAAAAGAAGAGATGTATTCCTGCCCTTTGATGTACAATATTCCTTAGGAATGTGTACAAGAGCTTATATAAAATGAAGATATTCTTGGCATGATGCAATGCTTTTTAGCATGACATGGGTGCAGGCATTTCCTTAATCTTCTTCTTGCGTATGTGGAGAACAAATTTGTTTGAAATTTCTAAAGTAATGTGAAGCAGCCACCCCCTTTCTTGATAATATGACGTTTCGAATGCCCATGTATCGGTCAATGATCACATTTCATTTGACGTTTGTTAGCTTCACTACCTGAGGCTTCCCAAGGACATCAAGAAAGATTACGTCATCTTGATGGATGCTACCGTAGCAACAGGAGCAGCAGCTATGATGGCCATCAGGGTCCTTCTGGTAAGCTCACTTTTCATCCTCCTTTTATAATTGGTGTCACCTTCCTATCTTTCCTTTCTTTATACTAAAAATGTTTTTTTTAATAATAATTCTGTATTTTCTATTATCATTAAAAAAAAAGTATGATGGATTCCACAGTCCTGGGCCGTCTTATGAGGAGCTGCGTTTGATCAGAATCAATCGCAAGTTTACAGTTTCTTATGTACATAGTTGCGATTGATATCAATCGCAAATATATTGTTTCAGTTGTTTCAGAGATGCCAACCCTCCCTGAATTTTTTTTTGTTTGTTGACACATCACTCCTTAAAATTGTTAATTCCTCCCTGATTTTTTGAAAGATTATTCCCATTATGCTGTATGCAATGGATAGAAACCTCCCTGATACCTGAATGAATCCTCCCTGAAAGCTGAATGTAAAGATTGGCCTATCTGCTGTTTATAAGAAGGGGCCCTGGTTGAGCTATGACTGAGATGACGACAAGCAGGCCAGAGGCAAAACTCCATGTCAATGTCATTTCAGAAAGAAACAGATAATTTTCAAATACAAAATCCAACATGGCATATATGTACGATATGTACATGTAGGGAATAATTTTTTTGATAATCATCAGAATCAGGGAAACCTAAAGATATTTAGCTCTACCAGAATAAAATGTATTTATATGTGCACGTGGTCCTGTAACGCTAAAAGTTACAATTCTTTTGTCGTACATTTAATTTCATAAATTAAACGTAAATTTACAATAAATTTTATGTTGCACATATACACATGTAGATGTAATACGTACTATTGTGTAGTAAGATGCAATTATTCAAAGTAAGACTGGAGATATTGATATAATTCATTGTAAGTAGATATTTTTTTAATATCACAGGACCCATCTCTTGATAACAAATACCATGTCATATTGTCTATATTATTAACATTCTTTCCCCTCCGCCAATGCTTCTATAGGACCATGATGTACCCCAAGAAAACATCCTGTTTCTCTCACTGCTAGTTGCCGAGTCAGGTCAGTATAAATCTTTATAGAGAACTCCAGTCTAAAGTGTATGGATTAAACATAAAATTCATGATCTGTGATAGTGCATTTTACTTAATTCTGGGTAGAACTGTGGTTACTGTTAGCCTTCATTACCACACACCATGTAAATTCCATCTCTACTCCCTGTTGCCTACTACTACACAACACAACACTATACTACACAACACAATACAGCACACCACTCCACACCACACGACACCGCACCACACCACACCACAACACACCACACCACACCACACCACACCACTCCACACCACACCACACCACACCACACCACACCACATCACACCACACCACACCACACCACACCACACCACACCACACCACACCACACCACACCACACCACACCACAACACAACACAACACAACACAACACAACACAACACAACACAACACAACACAACACCACACCACGCCACACAACACCAAACCGAACCACACCACACAACATCAAACCACACGACACGACACACCACACCAAACCATGCCAAACTAATATAGCGCTCTTACAGTTTAACTATATCACAATGCTTTACAAACTTGTTATATAAATGGACATACATGTAATTAATTTCAGACAATAAATATAAATACTGCAAGGCCATACAATTGATTTCAAGGTTTACAAGATCTCCAGGAATTTGTGGTAAACAGGAAGAGATGGTGAAGACCAAAAGCACTGAGGAAAAGCGAGGTATAGCAGAGGAAAAGGATTTCTCTCCTGCACGTTTGTGGGTCCTGGAAACTACAACCTGCCGTAGAGAGAAAAACACCCTACTTGTGCATATATATAATGTTAATGTTGACTGCGGGTACACATGTACAAAATTATGCCACATTGAAAAAGGACATTTTGATTTAAAATTAAAAAGAAAAAATCAAAGGGTATATATATTCATATTACAGTAATATTTTGTTGTTTAATTAAAGCTGTACAGACTGTGGCCTGCATAATAATGGATAAAATTACTCTTAAGACGATACATGTATATTTGCATATTGATAACAGGTGTATTTATTATGTTTCAGGTGTCCAAACAGTGGCATATGCTTTCCTGTTATGTATATGCATATTCATAACAGGTGTATTTATTATGTTTCAGGTGTCCAAACGGTGGCATATGCTTTCCTGTTATGTATATGCATATTCATAACAGGTGTATTTGTTATGTTTTAGGTGTCCAAACGGTGGCGTATGCGTTCTTGTACATGTATATATTTGCATATTGATAACAGGTGTATTTATTATGTTTTTAGGTGTCCAAACGGTGGCGTATGCGTTCCCCAAGGTGAAGATCGTAACCACTGCTGTAGATAAGGCGGTCAATGAGAACTTTCACATCTTACCAGGGATAGGTGAGTTATAGTCCCGTCAAAAATAATAATAATATTAATATTCCGCTTTTATATAGCCCTTAATACATCTATGATGTCTCTAAGCGCTTTACAGATATACTATTACCCCGGGCATTGGATTCAATACTTGCCGGCACACATTGTGTGCACAATGTCCATTCCCTGGGGAGTATTCCAGACAGGCGTTACTTGACGCTCAAAAATAATAGACCATGGCCCTGTCTTATAAAGAGTTTTGGTCGAGTCAAATCGATTGCAAGTACTCAAGTCATTCGTAAAGATACAATCATGTACCGTAATCAATATAAATGGAAGAAGAAAAAAAAGGAGGTGCAATTATGTAGTTACCTTTTGTGTACATGTATGTACTGAGTTGTGATTGATATCAAACTCAAGTTGAATTGTGATCTATTGGAATCCAGCACAACTTTTAACAAGACAAGATCTTCGAATATCAACAGTATGTCCGATGGAATGAGAAGAATTTTTATTTTCTTTAGAGTGTAGTATTAATGTTAAATAACATTTTCCACAATAATTCAGTTCTTTGTTGCAATTTTTGATAGTGCTCTATCTTTAAAAAAATAATTGGGGATAGGTGCAAGCCAACTGTATTTGTCTCATGTTCTGGTAGTATGTTAAGATTGAATCATAAAACATACAAAGCCTATGCAGTGTTGTCCTGGAATAATGCAAACAGTTTTTCTATAACCATGAATGCTTATTTTGATCTCTATATTAATAGTTTGTTTTATTGCTAGCTGTTTTTTAAAACCTTCTTCCAAAGGTCGTGCTTTTCATGACACCAGCTCCCTTTTGTTGATATCTACAATGTTTTGTTTTTTCTTGGTTTAGGTAACTTTGGAGACAGATACTTTGGGACTGGTTCATGACAGGGATGACTGGACACCAGCAGATATTGGCATTAGCTTGAGTAAAGACAATTGCCTTTAAGAACTCCTTCGCTTCTCAGGACAGTTATAGTGTATTGAAAGCCATCTCTGCAAGATGAACTTGTTTCATACAGTGTTTGTGGTAACACTTGTTTAGCTCGAAGTGCAGATTTGATATTAGTTTTGTTTTGTGTTCAGAGAAGTGTTTCACAAAGACTAAGATTGACTTTAAGTTAGACTTAACTATGACAGGCCTATCAAGCACTGGTTGCTCCCACCATTGGTCTCTTAATTATGGTCTTTAGATAATGTTTTCCTTCAATAATGAACTATCAAAAAAGGTAAATTCTGTAGATATGTGACCATAATTTGTACGTCCCTTGCGAGACCAATGCCAGTAACTGATGAGAGCAAACAGTGGTATGAACGGCCTGCAATAGTAAATCCAACTTAAAGTCAATCTTAGTCTTTGTGAAACACCCCCAGGTTGTTTTTGTGTACTGATACTCCCGTCAGACCGACACCAGACCGACACCAGACTGACAAAAAATTGCATTACCCCCATTCGTCAAAAATGGGTCGGGTTGGGTTGATTTGGTGTTGTAACTGAGGTAGTCGTATACAGGAGATGCTGTAACCAGGGTGATTAACAGTTGCCAAAAGTGCACAATTTAACAACATCTTATATTAATCATTATTAATATTATTTTACCATGTATAGTTTTACAGTAATATTTGTTTGTTGAACAGTGGCATTATAGAGGCACATCTGTCTGGTATCATTTACTTTGTAACCAACTTCTTTCTTGCAGTCAAAAATTGAATATGTGCTTCAGCTATACATAAAGAGCCATCAGCCATGATTCAGAGAATTTGTTAAATTTGTTGGGTCAAGTGTTCTCCACAGCCCATCATTAATTGGGGAAGTATACTGTATACATACACCTGGCTATCATAGAAGAAAAAACATTGCTCTTTTGGAAATTCATATGTACCAGTATCCTTAAATTTTGGTCCCATTTTCATTGATATTGCCAGCAGCATTCTCAAAGTGGAAATTCAGCTTTACAAATAATTATGGGAAGACATTTGTGACGAAACAAAGAACTTGTCAAAAGAACATTCTGTTTCTATTTTATGTAGCTAGGCATGAATTGGCCATCTCTTCTCAAACATATCTTGAAATTGTATGATCCTGATGTAAAGTAGCCAAGAAAGAGCCAAATTAAGGCAAGTCCTATGAGTGTCCTCTGTTCAAAATAAAGTATAGTAAGTCTTGAATAGATATGACATCATTCCTTTTTTCCAGGGGGGGGGGGGGGGCGGGAGCAGGAATATGAGGATAAAGTACATCGTAAATATTGTGCATCTTTATGTAAAGCTACACCATTCAAATCGTGCTCAACGGATTATGATCTCATTCATATCAATGGAGTACAAAATTGTAAGCAGTTCAGTGTAAATTAACACAAATGATACTCTGTTTGCTGTTCCCATAATTCATTTACCCAGTATTCGGTTGGTATTAATTTGCCAACATATATGCACATGTACACATTTGACATGACCAGTATTGTGCAATGTTGATACACTCACAATGGGGGTTTCCCTTTTATTTTTTAAACTTTTGGATGGATTGGATAGGGTGTGTGAAGTGAACTTTAGCCCACTCTTCTATTGCAGAGCTATTCAGTAAAATGATAAATTCCCCTTTTGTTGTTGCCTACTTTATGAAACAAAGAAAAATATGCTGCCGGATTTCATGCCCAGTGATCATTTTAGTAGATTATTATACAGTGCGTCCCAGAAAAAAAGACTCCATTTCGTAGACGATCAGCCATGCATCAAGTCTTTCGTCTTCTTTGTGCATGGCTGATCGTCAACGAATCGGAGTTGAGTCTTTTGTCAACTCTGTTTGTTGCTAAGGCAGGCAGCCAGTGAAAACTAATTTGTTTAATCAAATTATGGAAATGCAAGCATTACTTTAAACAAACAGAACTTTGTACCCTCTCTTCAAATTGTTTTTTTAATCACTCATGCATGTAATATGTATCATATGAGTTGCATCAAATGAAAGAGGAGGATCCAAACTTTACAAATACGTGTCATTTATTAATTATAATTATGCTAAAACATCGATAATTCTCGGTTTTGTTTTTTCTGGGACACACTGTATAGCGCATTAAACTCAAATAGTCTCTATGCACTGCACATAGTAGGGTAAAATGATAATGATACATTTAAATCAAGTGATCATGAAATGCTAGAAAAAAAGATATTTAGCACAAATAAAAACTTCATAAGTTGACCCCTTTTGGTAGAAATTTTAGGCTGAAAAGAATCAAATTCCTAGATAATGCATTGGGTTTTTTTTTGTCTTTTATTTCCGATGGTTGGAATAGCATTTCAAAGAAATAACCTTGCTGAAGCAAGTATAGGTTTTGAAGTTATGAGCTCCCAGACATATGTTACATGTAGGTATGTGTAATGATGTTGCACAGGGTTTTATCATATGTTAACTATACATGTATGTATTCCAACCCATTTTTGTCCCATACAATACTGACCTCATATAAGATGATGTGTTTTTTGATGACTGTATGAAGCCAAAAAGCCCCACACTCAAGCTTGAATCAGAAAAAACAAAAATTAAAAAATTATGTTTTTTATGTCAATATATGTTCAAAATTTCAAAGTACAAGTGAGTGCTACTTTGGATATATTGTACATTGTACCTTGGAGATATCTTAATACATTGAAAATGTTAACAAATTTCTGTTGTTGGGTAATTTGTCATGGTTACTTAAACCTTTGTCTACAAATATATTCCTAAAATATAAAGTCACTGAAAACAAGTTCTATTGTTTCATGCTTGTCTTATATTTAAAAAAGAAATGATGATTAAAAAGAGATTAGGTGTACATTATCTGTAAATGTTTCCAGCTACAAAATATATATTTTTTTTTCTGTTTTGCAGAAGCATTTTTTTAAATGAAAGAAAAAGAGTAACCAACAATAGTGTACATGAATGGTAACATGTACTAAAAATAGGTTATTAATTTTTTATTTTTTATTAAAAGTCTTATGTTCTCTTTTAATTCAAAGGATAGTACCTGGGTCAGCTTTTATTAATCAATATTTGATTAGTTCTTTCTTTTTCTCATGAAATGATATTCTGGCTTTTTATGGTAAAACATAATTTTGTTGATCTAATCATTTTTATTTTTATTTTCCAACTGTCCGTCAGAGTCATCTCATCTGCTTTGATAAATGAAATGCGATTCATATATAGTAAATTTACCTCATATATATCATGCATCATGTTGATAAAATTAAACACATTTTATTTGTGGAGTGGATTTTTTTTATATATCAATAAATTCTGTGCTAGCTTGGACAATGCTCGACAGGCTGAAATTTATAATAAAGAGTTTAAAACTCTCTTTCTTTCTCAAGTCTTGTACATGTACATATTTCACAAACCACTTGATCTACATTCACTTCTTACATTGTATAAACCATCTCAAAAAAACTGTCACTGCAATATCAAAACCAAAAGGTATTACAAAGTTTTGGTATGGGTCATGAATTTGGTTCAAATGAACATATTAGAAGCATATGCGATTTAACAGTATTCAACGATCGTTATCGCAGTTGAAATCAAGTCTAAAGTGATGAAATTGTAAATAATAAACTCTTTATGTTGTATAGCGCCCTCTCAAGACTGATATAACTTTAGCTTTAAAACGATGTTTCCTCACTACAATCAACCGATTTGCTATTCCCGTTTGGAAATTATATATCAGAACTGCATATTCTGAGATTTTAACGGTCACAGCTACCATGGAATGGCCCAAGGTGCTATTCAAAATATTTGAAATTAACCAGGAGCACCGGTAAAAAAAAATTATTATTCAATTTCTCGAAAGCAGAAGTGTTTTAGGGGCTAAATTTTCCAGTGCTTATAATATATCCACAGTTGCATCCAAATATGTCAACATTTCAAAGAATTACTACCAATCCAATTTTCAAAGTTTCCCAAAACTTTGCATTACCTTTAACCCTGCAAGATCAATGGCAAGTGGGTAATGGAAAGAGCCGCACCAATTTTTTATGGCAGCAAAACGTATGTGTAAAACAGGGCTTTGTAATCAACCTGCTTTTTAGTGGTGACCACTAGTATAGAAAGACTGCACATGTTTCTAATTGCAACATGGGTTACAGTAAACCTTTGCCTATCAAAAGTGCTTTATGTATTATTTTGAAGTAGTCTTTCTAATTTCTCTGCCAATTTGACAGTGTTTTGCCTGACCTCTGATTCTTGCATCTTTTCCTTTCACTATTTGCATTAATTTCCATCTTTTCTCATCCAATAGAGTACCGAAGAAAAGAGCATCAAAAACAATGCTCGTAATGGTTAGTAGCCAGAGCAAATAACACCAAGTTCCTGTAGGAAATATATTTATTCAGATGGTCATATATCAGCCAATACTTAACATATTCAATTGGTTTTCGACATTTGGACATTATTTGTTATGCTCTTTCGGAAAATGAAGAAAAATTGAGAAATTCTAAAAATAGATTTTTGATGACGTCACACTTCACCACTCTATAGCAATCTGACACAAGCTATGCACACATCAATAAACAAAGAAAGAACACACATTTCTTACATCATAATAATACATTTATTCCTGTGTAACATCACGTTTTACAAGACATACAATAGTTGGCATAAAAGAACAGTATTTTTGAAGAAAAAAAAACCCAACGCTTCAGCACTCAACATACACAATTTGGCTTTCGTCACGATAGTAAGAAAATACCGATATGATTATATAATGATTTCTTATTTCTCAACAATCTACATACAGATCGAGTACTTGCCCTTATACATGTTAACAAGTTCCCAGCCACTGTCGTTCTAGATATGTGACTTACACATCCTGTGAATTGTCAAAAGTATCACTTCCAGTTCATTGATTGAATACCATTTTTTTAAACGTATGATGAAAGAGTTCATTTTTTTTCATACAAACCTTACACTACGGTATGTTAATCATACATGTAGTTCAGGTTTATACATAATTTCAATCACTTTGCAAAGAACATTCTTATACATTTTAGCCTTTCGGACAATTTGTCGACTCAGAAACATGTGCAATGTACATGAACATGTGACAATAAATGTGTTTTAAAACAAAATGCAACCAAAATTCAAACGGATGCGCTCGAACATCAACAAATGAAATCACATATGCATCAACAGGTACAAGAACATTTCATCATATTGGTCATTGTGTTCAACTGTAAGCATGTAAGTTTCAAAATTCAAGAAAATTGTTCACCTACATTACATGTACGCTTGTGCACTGAAGTCATTAAACTGAACTGAATGGTATAGAAAATGTCTGATTTAAGTGAAGCGTAATGGAAACATTTCCATACATATACATGTATATAATATGTGTAAGCCTAAATGCAACAGTAGGTTTGTATATAACTGGATAAATGCACTGTTTTCTGGTCCATTTTCTTCTTGAGTAATTGCATTTATATTTCCAATATGTACTTGATTTATAATAGAGAAATTTCAAAGATAAAAAGAGAAAGTGTGAGCAAGATAAGTTAGGAAGGGAGTAAAGGAGGACTACATGAAGAGTGAGGTACAAAGAGAGAGAGAGAGAGAGAGAGACAGAGAGAGAGAGAGAGAAAATGAGAGAGAGAGAGGGGGAAGAGGGAGAAAAAGAGGGAGGTGAGAGAGAGAGAGAAAAGAAAGAGGGAGGGGAGAAAGAGAAATAGACCTGGGGGGTGTTTCACAAAGATCCTAAGTTGGACTTAACAATTATGGAAAGCCGTTAGCATCTTTGAAAATATTTTGTAAAAGTTTTTTAAAAGGCATAGAATGTTGATTCAAAGCATTCATATTTTGTATTATCATGGGAGATTTCATGTTCTTAATGTGGAATTTATGAAAAGTCTAAAATACTTGAATTTTTGCTTTAGAATATATTTCATTATAAGGCTACAAATGGCTCTCCATAATATTCAAGTCCAACTTAGAGTTAAGTTTGACTTAAAACATTTGTGAAACAACCCCCAGACGAGAGAGAGAGAGAGAGAAAGATACAAGATGAAATATATATTTATAGAGAGAGGAATAAGTTACAGAGAAAGCCTCAGCTTTCATAATTGAATGACTTGCAATAATGATGACAATAACAACAAACATTCATGAGTTATGGAGAAGTACTTAACTAAATGCAGAAAGTTTTCTTTAAATATTACAATCTTGTGTTTTGTAAATAGTTTTAAAAGAGAATACACATATTTTCATAAAAATACAACAAACAAACGGCTCAGAAAAGTGAGTACAAGAAGCATACATGCACATGTATTTTACATTGAATACACTTGAGTCTTCTTTATAAAAAAAGAAATCCTCAAAAAAAATTGCTGAACAATAAATCCAACAACCAACGTCCAGTTGGTGTTGATAAAGCCTGCATGAATAAGATACCCACGTCCCCATATTTCACTTCTGACCAAGTATTTATTTATTTACATATTTTTACATAATCTACAAGTCTTTATGAAAGTGCTGTGTATAATACGTAACAGAAAGTGAAAGCTAGAACACACTTCATGTGCATTTGAAAGTGCTTGTGGCTCTTAAAAAGTCATTTTTTCTTTTAATAATATACAGTAGTCATAAATAATACAAGTTATAACAAGGGTCGGCGAATACAATTAATTAACACTACCATTATTGCAAATATAATGCATGTCTAGGCTTACAAAACAAATAAAATTGTAAAACCATGATGCCATCTTGAAGTATATAAGTTACATATTGATAGAGTGTGAAAATTCAATGGCACTTACTCATTAAAAAATGAACATTAAAATCAATATTCATGTCTAACTCATGGATAAAATAAAGTACATCTATAAATGTGATTGGAACAAAATGAACACATTACTATGATGCACAACTCACTGTACATACCGGTAAGCAAGTCTTATGTAACATTTCCGCCAATCTTTAGCAATTATGATTACAATAAAAATTAAGAAGTACGGTACTCATGATTCTGAGTACCGGTATACCTCCATTCTTCAAAATAATAAAGCGATATAAAGTAAACGAATAACTTGGCAGGTCATGATTCAAAACATAAAATAAACGTAAAATAAATACTACTAATGTTTTTTTTTAATGGTGCATTACTTTTGACATGCAAGTCTAAATTATGATTGATATTGATTGCTTAGTATTTTTCTCCACATGAGAAATACATGTTCCGATATACATTATGGTATATATATTTCTATAAATTTCATCGCCTTCATTCCATGATATTGATCAGAATAATAGCTTGAAAAGTGAATGAGAAATATTTCTCATGGGATCACAGAGAAGAAGATATAGATACAAATCATCAAAGTCAAAAGAAATTAAAATGGAAAAAGAGAGGATCCAAGTGCTATGCGAGGCCAAGTTATATCACAAATGATTTGGAACGATGTATTTGCTTCATGTACATTCAACAAGTGACTTTTTACTTTAGGACTTCATTAAGATATAAATGAAATAAAATATAATATTGTCTTCCAGAAATGGCAATAAAAAAGTAGATAAAAGGAATAGGAAAGAAAGAAAAAGGAGTAAGGCATTCTAATAATATAACAATGAAAAAAGTCTTCCTGCATACATGTACCATAGACTTCCAATAAAAAAACAAGAATCAAATTGAACAAAGAAAAGACACTTCCTCATCTAGATGAATTATTTTTCCTTTAAACCTGAAGATTTAGTTGTTACACAAAACAAAAAATAAAAACTCATCCCAGTCATTCACCTTCAATACAATGACCAAATGGTTTCACTGCAAAAACTGCCACATGATTATAACAATTAATGCTTCTATTCTTCTAAAATACAAATTGTTAAGGTTTAATACCATGATCTTAAAAACTTCACTTACACCACAACCACCCTTTAATATCAAAGAACCATGTCTCCCTAGTCAAAATCTATTTACTCCAAAAGCAGTACTGTTTAGAATTTCTAAAAATTAAATCTTTTACATTCACATCAGAAGCCTCTTCTAAAGCCCGACCAATTTTTGTCATTCCCGTAAATGTAATATTTAAAAAATATTTTTTTTAGATTAATGTAATGTACATATATATTAACTATCATAAAAACTTGTAATTCATTTACCTTCCTCGATTAATCTTACATAAGAGTAGAAAAAAAGAGAGTTTCAATAAATGAAAGCATCGCGCATACGAGCGGTCATGTCTAGTAAAAGAGAATGTGTTACCATTCTTGAATAATGATTATCTTGAACATGATATGTATCTCTCATGTTCTAAAATATACTAGAAATAAAATGAGATCTAATCAATATATTCCACTTGCTTGTTTAAAAATTGTGTAAATGAAACCAAAGCGACTTTGTACAGCTTTAAAAAAGGCTGAGTAAAATATTGCATGCTATGCTATATACCTTGCAGTTGTCATGGTTAATAGCGTGATGAAATGTAAACAAACTATGAAACCTGGAGTTTTCTTATATCCCACATGACCTTAACCTGAACATGATTTGATATAAACAACCAGACATCATATAAATTGTCATTCCTGAATATGAAAGTTACAAACAGATTACATATCAATGCTCTTTATTCCTAATTGCAGAGAAAACGATGAGAGAACAGGAATGGAAATATTGTCCATACATGTAGCTTCACATTAAGAACAAATGCGACTGTCAAAACTAAATCTGGGCATATAATGTAATAAGACATTTTCAGCAGCATCGAAAGTAGAGTACCGTTTACTAATCTCTCTCTCTCCATAAAAATTAAATATGGATTTACATTTACAATTAAATATGCAGCTACACAAATTGTTCTTGAGTGCAATTGTAAAATTTGTTTGCTTGGAGAAACATTTGCAGTGGAAAAAACTTTCCAGTTTCCAAAATGATTTAGCATGATCAACACAAATAACTGCTGTAGAATGCATCTTTCTATTCAGAGCTACTTGCACATAGAGTTAATAGAGTACCTATTAAAGAGTGTACATGTTTAGCATTAAGATTGCAATGCTCCAAAGGAGACAAAAAACTACTTTGAAAAAAGTCTTGATTTGATAAAATCACACCTGCAAAAAATGTACATGTACGTTAAAGAATACATAGTTACCTAAAGCATCTCATGAATTTCACCAATTTAAATCAGAAGTAAAAGGAAGAAAAGAAGACACTACAAGTAATGAAAACACACCTTAGAAAGAGATCACACACCAATGAAATGGAGAGCATGGTATCCAAAGTAGACATTCTATTGGCATTTTGTCCCCTACATGTAGGAGGAAAAAAAACACCTGAATATCTCACTAGCTTGTTTCAATATTTAGTGCGTAACCCTTCTACAAAAGATGCACTTAATGGATAAACCAGATTTTACTTTCAAAGTTAACTTTTAAAATTGAGAGCACTGAATCAGCTACATGTAGGTTCCATCATGGTCCATGGTTTCATTCATGGTCTTTGGAGCTCCTTTGTCATTTATATCATTGTTCAGTACCTCCCACAAGCCTCCTTCTAAATAACTTAGTACAGTAAATAAAACGTGTGCATGATTAATGGCTTATCGTTTGGACAACACAGTGAAAATATTGCATCAAAAATAGAGTTGGCAGACAGGAGAATGAATGGTGAAAACTTGGAAACATCTTTCCCTTAACACTACAGGAACCTGGAGAGAGGAAGCGAATCCAACACCAAAACCCTCCCTGGCTGTAAATAAACATTACACCCTTGTAGAGGGGGGCTCTAAGACCTCTACCCCTTTAATACACAAGAGCCAGCTCTATTACCACCGAGAGAGGTAAGATGAGAGGGATACATGTGTATGTAAGATAAGAATACACTGCAAAAGTCTTACAATCTTGTAACAACCATCAAAATATTCCTCTTCTCCAGGGTCCTTACAATTTTTTTAATGAAACAATTGTCCCCCGCAAAGGAAAATCTCCCTTTTATCTGTGCTCTTTTTAAAGTTCAACAAACCATTCCCCCTATAAAGGAGAAGGTTTAGTAGGTCTACAAGTCTATAGGGGCTTCTTGAGTAGTTCCTAGGGCAACGTGGCCCTGCCTGAGCCACCCTGTCGTTGCAGCGCCCCTGTGATGTGAGACCGGTCTTCAGCGGATGGACGATGCCTCACGATACTGCTCGCCTTCCATGACGAAGAACTCTTCTAGCTTCCATTGCAGGGTCTCGAAGGTCGGTCTCTCCATGGCTTTGGACTTCCAGCATTCTAACATGATCTCGTACAGTTCTGGTGGACAGCCGGGAGGATTAGGCATACGGTAACCTCTGTCTACGCAGTCTAGGACCTCCTTGTTTGTCATCCCTGGCAAGGAAAAAAAAGAAATGCTCTTAAAACATGTCAGGTGCTATTTAAAGGCCGTCTGTACTAGTTTAGCCAGGAGGGATTAGACCACCCTGCAAGGTCACTGACAGGTGGCTATCTCATCAACTCGGCTCTCAATTAACATAAGAAAAAGAGGATCATGGTTGCGGCTTAGACATTGTTTTCTATATAGAGGGAGCAAGTAGCTACAGGTAGTACAGTGGGGCTTTAAGATACACGTTGATATGAATTTTCATGCTAATAACTTATAAGATTTTTAAGCTGATAAGAAAATGTGACATACAATAAATTCATATTCTTTCACAAATTTGCCGAGTGGTCACGTCGAAATCTGATTGAATTACAACACTGGATTTTTGATAATCCATCAGCTTTTCTAATGGCTGTGTGCCAAATGTTAGAAATTTTCTTGTGTTACAGTGATTGACTGTGGAAGAAGTTTCCCAGAAGTGTGTGAATTGCAAGGACATATTCTTCAATTGTTACAGTTTGATTCATAGCAATACTGATACAATAAAAAATACTAATAACACTAAGCCGTCATAAAGAAACCATCAATTATGAGTTATAATGCAAAGTGTCACTATTAAATTGGGTGTAGAATGTATTCTGTGGGAACACACTTTGCAGTAAGGAAACATGTTATTGTTTGTAGAAGAAAAACATGCATTGCAATCATTTTTAGTCTAAACAAATTTTGTTTTTCAAAACTCAAATGATTGCAGGGACCTCAGGTAGAACATTATTAACACTGATGTGGCTACCCTGAGTAAACAAGAGATATTATCATTAAATTCATGGGCAAACTTTGAAACCCACAGAGAGGGGTATTTATATAATATCTGATGGCTTTGAGTGTGATACAAGAATATATTGTCATAGCGAGAGCAATATTTATATAGTATCACACGAAAACAAAGCCATACAAAATTATCATTATTATCTATATCAGGCTGACTAGCGAAGTAACAAAATTTGACACGATAATCAAGCAATATTGTATCGACAGTTCAAGTTCCTGAATGTCAGAGCTATAAAAAAACAAATATTGATCTTTCATCTGGGTACTAAGCTAAAAATGCACTGACTTATTGTACCACTTGGAAGTCTTATATTGGGTGCGTTTAAAGTACCCTTTTTTGCCTAGAATCAGCGTTTTCAAACCTGTTTCAGGCAAATTTTCATGGTGATAAACGCAAGCCTGTTTTCAAACGTCTTTAGATATGGTATATTGAAACGCAAAAAAAAAAGGGCATTTGGAATGTGACATAGAGCCAAAAATTACGTTTCTGAGAAATGACAAAAGCATAACATACTACTCCAAGAAGAAAAAGCGTGCGCCCTAGTTGTGACGAATCGTGACGAGTTGATAAACGTGACATCCCGCAAATCACGTTCGTATAGTGGGGTTCGATATATACATATAGAAACGCTGATTCTGAGTGGCAAAACATGAAAAACGCACCCATAGATCATTATAAAATAGATTGTTTGTTGAGAGGGTGAGGGGCTTGCTTACCTGGGTATGGAATCCTTCCATAGGTGATGATTTCTGTGAGTAGGATACCAAACGACCACACATCTGACTTGATGGTGAAGCTGTGATAGTTAGCTGCTTCTGGAGCGGTCCACTTGATGGGGAACTTGGCTCCTACGTGAGACTCGTAGATCTCATCCTAAAACAAAATAAAGATAGATGCAGGGATTTATGAAGGTGGACTACCGTAATAAACTTAAACATGGGTTAAATTAGTCCATGGAGAGTTGAAGTCTCTGGAAATCGTGATGAAAAACTAATAACTGTGCTATTAAATTAACAACCAAGTATTTTGTAAGTATAAAATAATGATTCAAATTATAGTATGTGGAATGAAATGATCTCACTTTGGTAAATTGAACAAAATGCATGAAACTTACCATCAAGAATGGCTACTCAATCACATTTTGTCACAAGTATTTATGTGACGATTTGTCTTTTGTTTCAATGGGTTACATGATATGTATATCATCAGGCACATGCTTAATTCAATGTATTATTAAAAGTATGTATGAATGATTTATGATCCACAGAAATGATAATGGAACAATAAAAAAGGAGATAACAGGAGGTGTATTTTTTGCTTAAGAAAAATCTTAAGTGGCTAATAAACGACAACAAACAACTCTACTCCCTAAAAATTAAAAAGAAGGAGAAGTTTGGGGTGAATGTGGATTAACTGTTGATCGTATCTTTGCCCTGAAGTTACAGTCCATCTTGTCTAATAAACTGTTTACAGGCAGGATGGGTCTACAATAACTAGAACTGTAATTCTGCCAATTGGAATGATACATTTTTTACAATGAAACTTAACAAACTTTACAAGAACAATTGAATGGCATTTCTCTCAATCAAGGAAATTTATTTTTCAGTATTTTTTTTCTTTTAAGTGGAGTAATATGCAAACTTATTGAAAAAGTAATTAAATTCTTTCAATTCCAATATACAAATAATGAGCCAACCCCTTCCTGTCTGTCGATTGCAAAGATGAATTCTGCATTACGTAATATTCGTACAGGACTTTAATCTTTCCATTGCACAACAACAGGGAAATCCCTTTTTTGCATTGAGAAATACACCTTTCTGTTTATTCTATGAACAAGGAATACATTTTTAGAATATCACCGATGGCCCATGTGCATCAGCTATTGATATTACAATAGACTCTTACAGAATCTAAACAAACACTACTTAGAGATTATATTTACTTTAACACATTCTGCAACTGTGCTCCCAGTTACAGCAATATTGCAAATGTATGAAGACACAGTGTCCGGTTACCCATCATATAGATTAATGGCAAGGAGGAAGTACATGTTCTTATTCAGTTCAAAGAAAGTGCCAGAAGATTTGAATTGTTTGCAAATTTGTGAGTGGTTCAGATTAACAAAATGTTTAAGGCACAAAATAATCCCATCTGACACAACACTCAATTATTAGTCTTTGTAGAAGTTTCTTGAAGTGAAAATAACTCTCTTTTGCAAATCACAAAAGTTGTTGTGTTTTCCAGTAGTTTCATGTTTCACAACACGTTACTCTTTCAAGCAAAACATATTATCTGACAGGGTAGCTATACAAAACAAACAAATGTAATGCAGGCCTTGAAAAAAGAGAGAAAATCCCCTTCTGCGGCCAAAAATCTTTCTGTTCAAATATGAGGTCAGACAACAATGACCATAGCAATATTAGCAGGTGCCGTTGACATGGTCTGATCCGTTCTAGGTCATCACAAAGTCATACAATGTAAATTGCTGAAAAAACCACACATGACATATAATCCTTTCGTTAATCAAGGCCTTTGTTTATTGGCAGTTGCCATGGACACAGTTCGTAGAAAGTATTCTTAATGGCATTCATTACCACACATTATTTGTGTTCAATTTAAGCTGCAACCTTAATAGTTATGATAATTAGGACACTTTCAATGAATATTATTCCATCAAACTAAACTATTTTTTCTCTCTTTAATAAAGCGAATCATTCCCTCCAAATGGGTAAAACATAAAATATAAATAGTAGTAAAAAGATCTTTTAAAACAGTTTAGAAGCTTGACAGTTCTCATAGCACCCGAAGAATGTGAGGCTGGATCTTAAATTAAAGATCCTGACAGTGACGACCTTTATGAGAAGAACAATTTTTTGTGGAAAGAGTAAACTTTTAAAATGTACCATACCCGTGCATCTGGCAATTTATTACTGGTAAATGCAGTCTTAGACGGTGCATGTAAAATTGTTGAAAATTCAACAGCTACAACTGAATCTAATTTACAATCTAAAGGACAATTTACAGCACATAGGACACATTGTAATATGCGCTATTATTATCAGTATTTCTCATCATGGCTATACTAATTATCTTTCACCTTGGTAGTGAGTAATATCTAACATTACTGTCAAAATGGTTAATCTAGGCAATGAGCGGGTTATGTTTGATTACAATCATGCCTACAGTTATTGGGAAATTGACTTAGACGATGTAAAATGTCTAAACCGTGAATTTGGGTACATTAGTAATTAGTTAATATGCAATGAGTGATATAATATGCTACCATGCATGGATGTCCAAAAGTGCAGTGACTGTTCTATGTGGTGTGAAGTGTTGTTAGAACATGCTAATAATATTCAAGGCAGAAAAGAGATAAACCAAGGTTTTGCTTTTTTATCTACAGAGTTTTTTTTGACATTGTGCAACTAATAGAGAACTCATCTCTATTTAGATGTGGGAACTTTAATATGCCTGCCCCCCCCCCCTCTCTCTCTCTCTCTCTCTCTCTCCCTCTCTCTCTCTCTCTCTCTTTTGTTATCAAATAATATATAATCTGTTCAGAGCCAGAAGGGCATTAACTCTGTGTTACAGAACAGGCGATATACCCCCTTAACAGATCCCTCCCCTTCGTTTGTTGCAAATTGTTCCTCATCTTCTCACAAACCATCTCCCATTTTCAAATATTAATTTATTTCTAAATGTACCATCTAATTCTCATCCAACTTGTCTCTATCTATTAAAGCTTTCCCTTTAAAATAGTTATGTAATTTTCTCTAGAGTGTCAATTTCTTGAAGAAATACTGTTGTTAGAGATTAAAATGCAAATGCAATACATGCAATAGATGTTTGATGATCTCTATATCTATTAGTTTGATCTACCGAATCAATACATTACCCCTAACCAATCTAGGTTGACAATAAGTGTCACCCCTTTTGGTTTTATTAGACCATAAATGGGATATTCCATTGCTGTTCAACTAAAGGAATAAACCTACCTGATTCTGTAAGAGAAGAAGAAAAACAGGAGAAAGGAGGGGGCTCATAAAATGTGTAGAGAATGAGAAAATGATTCCTATTGATTTAACAGCAGTGTAATAGACCATTTTAATACTAACATATTCAAACTTTAGGCACACTGTTTAAAGAAAGGTTGTTCTTGACAACATGAAAGTTTGCCTGAGGCTTGTATGATAAAGCAACAAGTAATGTATGCAGACTGGATTCCAAATACGCAGAAAACAATATGTGTATAAATACACCAATGATGACAATAACAACTACACATTTAGGAAAGGAAATATTAGTATGACTCACAAACATTGATACACAAATAACAACAGTATGTACATGTAGACAAAAACACTTGGTTATAAAGGCACACAGGTAAAAATGGATTGTTAGACACAGTTATTGGATTAAGAACTCTGTAGCATATATGAATGCAAGTAAGGCAGATCATGGTCACAACCTAGATGTACAGGTCCACAATATATCTCTATATAAGCAGATATACACGATTACAAGGCTACAGCAGGGAATGGGTGCAGTATTAAACATGAAGGGCAGTATAGATTAGAGATCCAAGTATACCATTATTTGTTGTGGTTGAGTGGATACGTCACAGGACATTGATCTACATTCACCACACTCAACCCAGGTGATGTAAATGGGTACCTGGCAGGTATTTATTCCTTGAAATGCTAGAGCGTCGTAATGGTAGCCATACTAAAGCCGGGGTAATGAATGTGGAGCGCCAGGAGTGTCAAGTCTGACAGATATGAGCGCTATCATCTGTTAGGAGCCAGAAGATTGTAAACCTCCTATACTCTGTACTACTTGTACTTCAACACACATGGTTAACAGCCTTCTGGCTCTGATGGTGTGCTATGTATTGATGAAGTGGTTTTGGTGAATGTCTAACTGGTTCCCATCACAGAAGCTGCATGTACTTGCATGTATGCAGTCATCTTGATTTCTATTCCTAGTCTTGCATGCTCACAATCATTAGCCTCACTTCAACACCAAATGATTTTGCCCTCATTCTAAATGCAAATGAGTATATACCGAGACTAGAAATGAGAAAACTTGTAATCTTACTACACACTTCTGCTTTACTTCCTCTCATAACTAGTCTACTTGAACCAAACAATAAAACTCATGTATATTGAGAAGGAAAAAATATAACTTCACCTGGAAGCAAGGCCAGCCATCACCTCTGTCGCACGCATACTGCTCCAACACATGTCAGCTTCATCAACTATTAATACACCACCCTCATCACGAATGATATGATATGATGTAACCACTGACTGACAAACCCTAACACAAACCTTCCTCCTATTCTTCCTCTTCTTAACACGGATGGTTCCCCCTTCTCTTTGTTTGTAAGTCACAATGAATTATCATCTTCTATTTCCGTCCCTCATCTTCCTATGTATGTATTTGGAAACACGCCAGGGAGTTTGTGCACTCTCCTCTGATTCATATCTAAAGCCTCCCGTTTCAACTTGGCATTTGGGCAATCTTAAAGGAAATGCTTTATGGCTGTAAAGTCTTTTAGTTAGAATTAAAATGATGCAACAAGTATAAGACCTAATAAAAAAAGATGTTGTATTGCCCTTAGCAACTGACCCAAAAGTCTTGAAATCTATGGTCGCTTTAAACAAATAAAAAATAAATGTTTTTTGGAGAAAAACAATATTAAAGCATTCAAAACTGAAAAATATCAGCCTAAAGAGGGAGAGAAAAAAAAAATTCCTGAACGAATGACCAATGTTTTGGGCTAAACAGGTAAAGGGCTAAACAGGTAAAGGGCTATACAACATCTTTTTTTTTAAAGGCCTAATGAAGTGAAATTGTCAAAGGAAACGCTTCAAGGCTGTAAAAATCTTCTGGTCAGAATTAACATGACGCAACAAGTGATAATGTTTTAATTAGAAGAGACTTGAGGGTGATACTTCCCCCGTTTGGATTACATTGTAAATATTATCTTTAGCAGGTGCAGATTTTTTTAATAAACACTCTTTATGTACAAAAAGGTCCTATTACTTTTCTGAATGGTAACAACTCCCTTGATACATTACAATATTTATGTCATGAACATAATCTTGAATATCATTGCCAGGCCAATGAGTATATTTTCAACCTAGGAAGGCTTGCAGATTTTGCAAGCCAATATTTTATCTTATATAAATGAGGTGTAGAAATACAAAATGTCTGTTGTCCTGTGCTCTATTAAAAACGGGTCTGTACAGTCATTTTTACATTCAAATAGATTACAAGCATGTATGAAATGATTGAATGTCAGCTTAAACTTTCTGTTAGCATTCAAAAACAGTTCCCAGTTTAATTTTGTTGTAATTGACATTATTCTGATCTTAATCGCATGTACTATGCATGTAGGCCCAAAGTTATATTTTGTGTAATTTTGGCATATAGTGTTATATGAAAAATAATAATAATAAAAAACGAACAAAAATAAACAGAATACTACTGAACTAATAAAAGTTTGGATTAAAGTCAAATTCTAATAAAATGTAACTCCACACTTTTTACATTAAACCCAAAAGATATGGCAGGGAAAAATTTGTGTATGGTCAGGAACATCAACAAATACATCATGGTGAAATGATGAATAAGGGTACTGAGAAACAGTAGGATGAATACAATACAATGTGACAAAATGATTAGGATGTAATCCATGGTATTAATAACTAAATCCAGATTTCTGATTGCTTGTATTACCCTGAATGATGACAGTTCACTTCCCATTTTCATTTCCTGTGAATCCTCATATCCTCATTCATTTTGATCACAATCACTTGTTTTTTTTAACCCTTCCCATGCCAGATTTACCAACAATTATTGTACATGAACTTTCAAGTACAAAATTATGAGATTAATAGTAAACAATATTTGTTAGGTGCCAAATCAACTTGAAAATCAAATGTTCGGCTGCCCACAAGAAAGCCGTAGCACAAGCAGCTTTGTATTGTCAACGGCATTAACAGCATTCTCGTGGGCTGCCGACAAAAAGTTCAACAATTGACACTTGAAACAATAGGATATTGTCACACATGCCAGGATCGAGAGATCTACCGGACTCTTTGGGCTAGTGAAGCGGACCACAAATAGCGGGCTATTCGGCAAACTAGCCCAAGATATCTTGGGAAGATTTCCTGAGAAAATAGCCCGCAAATACGGTACCTGCCAAATAGCCTGCTATTTTGTGATCTGGCTAATTTCCCGGATCAGAAATAACGGGCTATTTTGCCCCCTTTCGGTCTGATAAAGACAGGCCGACTGTAAAATGAGTTCAGCCAAGTTGAGAGGCACAGTGTTAATCCCTGCATTCCTGAGGCCAAAGTGTTTGGACAGTGATATGTCAGTCAATCAATCTTGACCAAAATTCATCATAAACAATTTATGCGCCAAGAGGGGAAAGGGTCTGTTTTGATTGGAAAGATAAAGCACATAATTACTGTTTAACAATCTAGAGGCACGATTGTATTTTTAGTAAAATCTGTTCAATTTGGGGCTCCCACATGACAGAAGTTACACCTTGTGGTCTTGCTACTGATCCAGAAATATTGCGATACAAATTTCCCGAAATAGCCTTTGGCTTGGGAGCAACAACCTTGAACATTCCAGTTTCCGTCCCAGTTTAGCTGTCACTGTCTTACACTATCCTATGACTAAGACTCGCCCCCCTCCCTATTTAGAAAACTACATGTTTCCGTACAGCAACCACCGTTTATAGAGGGCAGCTACTTCCCAGGTAAGTATACTTCCTCCCCCACTCCCAAACACTACCCCTAACCATGGTTCATGGCTCATGCCCAGGCACTAACCCTAAAGCCCTCTGCAAAATGTACGGTGTGACTAAGATCCAATTTTGGAAGAATTTGCAATAGAATCAGATATGAATATTCAGATTTCTAACATGTCAAATCATAATGATTGGGGCTCTATAGTCGCATGAAAAATAAAATTAAATACTGAAAGCATTGCAAGCTTTCTTGTTGGAGGAAAACCTAAATCAGCTCAGAATTGTAGTGACGTCCAACCAGTAGAGTTATGATCTACAATTTGAAGCCAATTCAAGTTTTATTCCGACTATAGGTACTAGAGGTGTCGTGGATGAGTGGTTACATCGCCGGACTGTCGATCACAAGGTCTGCGGCTCAAGTCCCGCCGCGGCACTAATGTCCTTTGGCAAGACATTGATCTACATTTGCCACTCTCCATCCAGGTGTTAAAATCGGCATCCTAGCATAGCCGGGTAATGTTGGAGCGCCTTGAGGACCTTGCAAGGTCGATACGTGCGCTATATAAGAATCCAATATTATTATTATTATTAAATGCACTAACATTCTGGTTGTTAGTATTCATATCACTATTCAGAACCTAAATCAAGAAAACGATGTTTGTTTAATATCCCATATCTAATGAAATGGCAATTCTTCAAAAAATGGATCGAAGTAGAGTTGTATGGTGTATAGTAGGCTTAATCCTACCCCTAACTTAAAACCGAATCACATCCAAGCCCTTAATGACCCTATTTCCAATAAAATGGAGAACATCTTATAAGCAAATTTTGCCAAGGTTTAATCTTCTGCTGAGAGCCAGAAGGGCAGTAAGTCACATTTCTTTTTCTTTTACATATACTTAAAGGGATTCAGTAATTTTGTCTTAGATCCTTTAAAAAATCCTTGATTTAGCTCATGCTGCAATGATAATTATAAACCTTTAGGTCAGTCAGGAACCCCACTTTTACAAGCCGATCGCCTGTCTGATTATCAACATATTTATGATTGAAAATCAAAATCAAATTTTGCGTTTGTCAAACGGTTTTCATAACATTACAGTCTATTGGGGGAAACGAGTATGGTAAAACCGGTCACTCAAAGGTTTTTACTTTTTGAGGCACTTCTTGATCACTTTGAAGCGATTTTTTCTTTAGGGCTTCAATATTACACCATATCACAGACACTGGTAACATGTAGGGCCGTGCATCTGTTAAACGATGCCTTTAATATCCTTCTTGCTTCAAACAACTATGTTGGATCACTGGAGCTGTCATCTAAATCTTTTCATTCATCAATCAGATGGGCAGGGCCCCACAGACCTCTGACATCTGTGATAATCACCCTGGCCAAGTCAGAGTCAGTCAAACCTGCAGATGTTTTTCTTTCTAACCCGCATGTTCCTTGCACATTGCCGTCATTATTTTGGGGGTATTGTACCACATAAGTAGACATGTTTGATGTGACAGAATCTATCTTAATCACACCTGACCAAGCCAAAGTTAGTCACCTTGCAGATGTTGTTCTCTCCAACCAGTACATTCCTACTACATTGCTGTCATGAACAATTTTTCATGAATGATAGGTAGAGACAGCATTGGAGTCTTTGAATTGACAGTACATACCTTAATCACCCTGGCTGAGCTAAAGCCACTCACCTTGCACATGTGTTTCTCTCTAATGAGTTCATTCCTTGCACTCTGCTGTCATTATTTTTTTTTGTTTTTTGTATTGTACCACATTAGTGGATATTTTTGATGTCTTTGATGGACAGTACTTACCTTGATCACCCTTGCCAAGCCAAAGTCTGCCACCTTGCAGATGCTGTTCTCTCCAACCAGTAAAATCCTAGTACATTGCTGTCATGAACAGCTTCTCATTAATGATATACAGACAGCATTTGTGTCTTTGACGTGACAGTACTTACCTTGATCACCCTGGCCAAGCCAAAGTCAGCCACCTTGCAGATGTTGTTATCTCCAACCAGTAATATCCTAGTACATTGCTGTCATTAACAATACAAAGACAGATTTGTGTCTTTGAAGTGATAGTACTTACCTTGATCACCCTGGCCAAGCCAAAGTCAGCCACCTTGCAGATGTTGTTATCTCCAACCAGTACATTCCTACTACATTGCTGTCATCAACAACTTTTCATCAGTGTGCCAGATGGGTACATACTGCATGTGTCTTTGTTGTCTTTAATGGACAGTACCTACCTTGATCACCCTGGCCAAGCCAAAGTCAGCCACTTTGCAGATGTTGTTCTCTCCAACCAGTAACATCCTATTACATTGCTGCCATTAACAATATAAAGACAGATTTGTGTCTTTGACGTGACAGTACTTACCTTGATCACCCTGGCCAAGCCAAAGTCAGCCACCTTGCAGATGTTGTTATCTCCAACCAGTAATATCCTAGTACATTGCTGTCATTAACAATATAAAGACAGATTTGTGTCTTTGAAGTGATAGTACTTACCTTGATCACCCTGACCAAGCCAAAGTCAGCCACCTTGCAGATGTTGTTATCTCCAACCAGTACATTCCTACTACATTGCTGTCATCAACAACTTTTCATCAGTGTGCCAGATGGGTACATACTGCATGTGTCTTTGTTGTCTTTAATGGACAGTACCTACCTTGATCACCCTGGCCAAGCCAAAGTCAGCCACTTTGCAGATGTTGTTCTCTCCAACCAGTAACATCCTATTACATTGCTGCCATTAACAATATAAAGACAGATTTGTGTCTTTGACGTGACAGTACTTACCTTGATCACCCTGGCCAAGCCAAAGTCAGCCACCTTGCAGATGTTGTTCTCTCCAACCAGTACATTCCTGGCTGCCAAGTCTCTGTGGATGTAGTTCTGTGACTCCAAATAAGCCATACCAGCTGCTACCTGTGCTGACATGTCGATCAGTATCCTCAGCTGTAAAGAGTGGCCTTTGGCTGTGAGAGAAGAGAAAAGAAGTAATAATAATAATAATAATAATAATAATCTTTAAGTCCACTCCAAATTGTATTAAACCGAAAATGGAAATTCTTTTTGCCCAATTGATCGTGAGTCCGGCAGCCACTGAGCAGCGCCAGATCGACGTTGCTCTATCCCCTTATTGTTGAACGTCAAACAAGGTAGCAGCAACTCCCGTCTTTTAACTTCTTTTGGTATGACGCTGCCAGGGTTCGAACCCACGACCTCCAGGTTGTGAGGCGGACGCTCTACTGACTACTTGTAAACTACTTGAAAATAATCGTTCTGCATCATCTGGTGATGATGTAGTGAACATGTAGTGAAGCTGAGATCTGAAAGAACTAGAGACAGGGTAACATTTGTACATCCACGGAGATCACTGATGTCACATCAAACTATTCTGCAACTCAAGAACAAACCACATTCTCATGACCAACAAAAAAGAAGAAGTCCTGGGTCAATTCAACCCTACCTACTTTAAACCACATCTTAGTATAGTATTAATGACTGCTTTGAGAGAAATAGTTGTTTTATTACGCTCAAGGGAAGGTTAGAATTGTGCTATTCCCCGAGGCTTGCCGAGGGGAATAGCCCAATTGTAACCTTCCCGAGAGCGTATGAAAACAACTATTTCTCGAATATTAAAGCAGTCATTAATACTTTTATATGCCGAACAAAAATAGACTAAAAAATGAAAAATTAAAAATATTTATCATTTTGTCGAAGACGGGATTCGAACCCTTGCGTACAACAAGAGGTGTACCATAAACCAACGCTTAGACCACTCGGCTATGGCCCGCCGTTAACATGCTTGGCAGTTTTCTCCGATGTATACATTAAAATGGATTGAAACCGGCTTCGCGTGTGATGAATGCTTCGCAAAAGCTCCATATACGGACTCTTCTTTTACTTTTGCAATGCATATTGGCACGAACTTAGATCAAGATCTATCGGCAGATGTTGTTTTTTTGTTTTTGGAAGTTTATTTTCGTCTTCATGTCAACAATGCAAGATAAAATTGTCGGTAAGATCGATCGAGATTCAATTGTATTGAAATTACCGACCAATCCTTCGCACACATACGGCATCCTCCATCGCTCAAACCATTTTTTAACATGTAAACCTATGGGGTAACCATGGAGGCTGACCAACTGTTTTTAATAACCATGGTTATTAAAAATATTGAAATGTTTTATGCATGGTTACCGAGAATTTTACAGGAACAGTTGAAGTTTATGAATGCAATTCGACCAATCAGATGGCTGGATTTCTTAAGTGAGGTATATAATATAAGATATTTGTTATCAATTACTGTTGGGTTTCCTTGATAGTTGCAAGAAGCACTATTGCTACAGACAGGCAATGTTGACGTCGTACAAAACTGAAACATCCCTATAAACTAGTGTGAGGCTTCATCATAACTGTAGACCTCGGGCCTTGTTCACAATGCGATATTTTACAAATTTCATAATCAATGAGCCGGTTCTATTTAACTGCAAAAGGCAAGATATTTCTTAGTAAAGCAGTATTTGTTTCAGTATCAATGTTGGGCAGTTAAACCACCAACAGTACTGTAGGAGTTAAACAGGACTAAAATCTTTCTGCTTTTATTATCGATGCCTTGCATCTACTTGGGGGGAACGTTTCCTTTGACTCTTCTTTCTTCAGCTAGAGGATAACCCCAGTCGGGATATGTCAACACGTTACTTGCGCTTCAGACAGGATATTGGTAATTCATTCAGCCTTATTGCAAGTGAAAGAAGGGGTAGCTTCCCACTGCACAAGCATTTCAAACTGTGACACTCTGAATATACTACATGTGAGACTTGAATGTACTTTCAAGATTAAATTGTATCATACTGTTTTACAGCCATACACCTGTGCAGCAAGGTACTGAAGAAAGACAAATCAGAGTGGAATAGCTGTCATAACTCATGAAATTTGTTGACAACTACAGCAAGTCAGTAACTGCACGCCATATTCTTAAACAACAATTCGCCAAACGTTGGAATACATTTTATAGCACAATAACAGCATCCGGACGATGATAATTGTCCATGGGAACACTGTTTTAAATGGAATAATCCAGCAGACTGATCAGATTTAAGGAAGATATTTGTGGTTTTATGGAAGATCACTGACAGAGGGTTTTCTTGCTACTGCTTTACTGTAGTGAGTATTCAAACATGTAGGTAACTACAAGGAATAAATGTAGATTCAATGATGCTTTGATTACTTGGGCATCCTTATACCAAGAATTGAATGATTATTCATATATCAGCTGTCAGTTTGGTCACAGCAGGATGTATCTCAATAACACTGACAGTCATAAGAGAGAGAGAAAGACTATTACAAATATGTAGAGCCCATATATTATCAACCACTATTTTCTAGATGTAAGACAAGGATGACATTAACTATCATTTTTTATATTAGTATATTGAACGTGTCAGATTTCAAGGATAATTAATTAGAATTATACATTCTAAACAATCAAATTATATAACATGAACTTTTAAGGATAAGTAATCTGCAAGAGCAGACAAATTTATCACTTTTTTCCCCTAATACAGTAGCATCACACCATCTCTGTATATCTCTTACTCATTGCATCGCTGATCTTCCTACTTTAATGTAACACCTACTCATGCTTCTCCTCTATATATTTTGTAGGAGTATCTCATACCTTTTTTTTTAATCTAGAGACTCTTTCTTTTTTTTAATTCCTCCAACATTACAATGTACATCCTGGCTCCCTGCATCTCGGAGATGACTAGCTCATTATTCATACATGTTAGAAACCAACTCCTCGCTGCAGTAATCCATTTTTCTTCGCCTTCACTTGGCTTTGTATGATTAGTTAAAGGCAAACTAATATTATGAAACAGGATGACGATTCTTCTCTCCTCCTTCTTTCATCATCAAATTTCTGGATCATTCATGAACCTCGCTCACTCCCCGGCTCTTTCTTCCACTTCCATTCAATGACCAGATGCAAGCTCCATCCTCACTACAGTACCGGTAATCAATTTTCTTTCCTTCATTTGCATTTGTTTGAATTGGTACTACTAATAATAATAATATTGGATATATAGCGCACATATCCACCATGCATAGTGCTCAAGGTGCTCCAACTATTATCCTGGCTCTGCTAGGCAGCCGATTTCGGCGCTCACAGCATTCAAGGAATTCCTTCCTACAGGTAGCCATTTAACACCTAGGTGGGGAGTGGCAAATGTAGATTTGTATCTTGCAAAAGGACATTAGTGCCGTGGCGGGACTCGAGCAGCAGACCCTGTGATCCAAAGTCCAACGACTTAACCATTAAAGGAGAACTAAAGGCACTAGAGGCACACAAATTATTCTGCTATCCTCCTTCTTTCATCATCCCTCTGTCCGCCCCTCACTCCATCCCCAGCTCTTTACCGCATCCATTCAATGACAACCTACATGTACATGCTTGTCCTTGCTACACCAATCCATTTTTTCTTTGCCTTCATTTGCATTTGTTGGATTACATTCTCTCCTTCTCCGGATTCTTCTCTCCTTCTTTCATCCTCAAATCTCTGGATCCTTCCTAAATCCATTCCCCTCGCTCCGTCCTCCACTCTCTTTTTACTTCCCACATTAGGCGTGTTTTCATCAGCTTGAGATTGCCTATAAATAGCCCACTATTTCTGATTTGGGAAATAATCCTGAAGTTACAAATCACGTATTCATCAGCCCGAGATTCGACCTCGAAACTTGAAACTGGACCTTGAGAAATGTGCTCAAGATATTTTGCTCAGCGTTCGCGCATAGTGAGAGTCTTCGGGCTGGTGAAGCCGCACCGGACAAATAGCAGGATATTTTGCAAACTATCCCAAGAAATCTTGGGATGATTATCCCGACCTAATATCCCGCTAATTGCAACTTCAGGCTGATGAAGATGCAAACTAACTGGATAATTTAATAATAATAATAGCCTAATAGTCCACTCCAAATTTGATTAAACCGAAACGGAAATTCTTTTTGCCCAATTGATCGTGAGCCGGCAGCCACTGAGCAGCGCCAGATCGACCCTTATCGATCCCTTATTGTTTAACGCCAAACAAGGTAGCAACAACTCCCATCTTTTAACGTCTTTTAGTATGACGGGGCCGGGGTTCGAACCCACGACCTCCTGGTTGTGAGGCGGACGATCTACTGACTGAGCCAACACTCCGGTATAGAGATAGTTGAAATAGTGAGATATTTGGCAAATTCGAGCTGATGAGGACAGCCCACATTCATCCGATGACCAGCTCATTAATCATTGATGCGTTGCCCTGGTTTCTAGGATCACCTTCTCCTGCTAATCACAGAGGATTCCATTCCACTCCATTTCACTTCACCTATCCTCCTCCTCTAGCTTCATCATCCTATACCTGCATCATCAAACGGTCGCCCTGGGTTCATTCAGACATGCTAAATTCAGGGTATAGCTAGTACATGTATATGAACACCTATCCTCCTCCTCCTGCTTCATCATCCTATACCTGCATCCTCAAACGGTCGCCCTGAGTTCATTCAGACGAGCTAAATTCATGGTATAGCTAGTACATGTATATGAACACCTATCCTCCTTCTCCTGCTTCATCATCCTATACCTGCATCCTCAAACGGTCGCCCTGAGTTCATTCAGACGAGCTAAATTCATGGTATAGCTAGTACATGTATATGAACACCTATCCTCCTCCTCCTGCTTCATCATCCTATACCTGCATCCTCAAACGGTCGCCCTGAGTTCATTCAGACGAGCTAAATTCATGGTATAGCTAGTACATGTATATGAACACCTATCCTCCTCCTCCTGCTTCATCATCCTATACCTGCATCCTCAAACGGTCGCCCTGAGTTCATTCAGACGAGCTAAATTCATGGTATAGCTAGTACATGTATATGAACACCTATCCTCCTCCTCCTGCTTCATCATCCTATACCTGCATCCTCAAACGGTCGCCCTGAGTTCATTCAGACGAGCTAAATTCATGGTATAGCTAGTACATGTATATGAACACCTATCCTCCTCCTCCTGCTTCATCATCCTATACCTGCATCATCAAACGGTCGCCCTGAGTGCATTCAGACAAGCTAAATTCAAGGTATAGCTAGTACATGTATATGAACACCTATCCTCTATCTCTATCAATGGTTGGCCGACTGTCATGGCAACTGCCCGGTTCAATATTAGTTTCCTTTATATGTTTTCTAGTCTGTGAGCTCCTTTCGCCATACAAAAATTCTTTAAACAACGTTTCTCTATACAAGATTCACACAAATGTTCTATATCCTCCTGAACTATCAGTGAAATGACCTCTTAAGAACTATTTTCTGATATTGCTTCTATATATACGATAACCTATTTCATGTGTGAACTCTCTTTCAGCTTCCTATGACGTTTTTTTATGCAGGTTGTGTAGAAATCTCCTGTAGTCTGAATGGGCGATCAGTGGCTTAATACCTCTGGATGGTATGCATACATTACATATGCCCTGACATACCAACCTCAGGGACAGAATTACAGTAAACAGCGAGGAGAAATTATTTACCAAGAGATAGAGGTAGTTAGAGATGGAGGGAGAGGTCGAGAGGGAGGGGGTGGGGAGGGAGGGAGAGAGGGAGAAGCAGTCAGACCGCAGCGTGCGCGATAATGAGGCTATAGTCTGATTTTTATTCAGCGTCTCTTTGGTTATCTCGTACATTCACGTGCGCTGAAATTCACGAGATTTTCCGTGAGATTTGTAAGGGTGTACATGCAGCTGCTTTTGTGGTCGATAACTTCTGTCAACATGGCAGCACGCAACGGTAATTACTCTCGAGATTCTCAGCTTCAGTTTGATATGAAACTTGCCATATTTCACAATTTTGAAACATTCCTTTTTCACCACTTTTATTGTCGTTATTTTTGTAACATTTCAACAGCTATTTTGTACCCAAAATTTCGCTTTTGGTTCCTGACTTTGGTACATAATTAATTTGTTTACTTTGAGATTCGTTGGAAAGATGAAAAGTCACTGATCAAAATAATGTCAAAACCTAATTGACGCAAAATCTTGTTCTCTTTATAATCATAGTAATTAAGACCCTAAAAACCCGGAAATTACCAATTTGTTCTTTCTATGATGGCGCGAAATTGTGTGATTTCATGCTCGTGCACGCTCGCCGTCTGAGCAATGGCAATGCATAACTGATTATTAAACTCCAGGGAGCTCCGCCGCACCACCGACTGGCCGAAAGAAATAAGAAAAATGATTAAAAAAGAAATATTGTAGAAAATAATTATTCTGGAAGGCACGTGACGTATTTGATCCAGGGTCCTTAGATTGTTGACATGACTGCTTGCGCGCACGTGTATTACCGGCGCACGCCACAAGGCACGCAAACTAAATATTGGTATTCAGAATGTTAATAAACCAAAGCGGGACATATGTGACGTAGTTGACGTATTTGACCAATCAGAACTCTCTATTATCACATCGGCAAAATTGACTACTTCTATTAATTATTCATAAACATTCGCGTGATTTTTCTTGGTTCCTGACTTTGGTACAGCATAAAATATAATAATTTTAATATCATTGTAAAGAAAAATATTTATGCTTAATGCTGATTATAATATCTTCTTGACGCATAAATGATTTCTATGTGAAAATCAGCCCTACTCTTTAGATAGATTTATCGTCGAAAAACCCCATTTTTTAGGCGAAATATCTGTTTCCAAAATATATTTAACATGATTGTCATATAAGTATATAGAGAGTGCAACTTCTTATCTTTAAAATAAGACCCATTTCATGAGAAATGAACAATTATAAAGGCAAAAACTGCCGATCGGGAAGATCGTCTGCACTACTCATTACGCATGCAAGACACGTAAATTCTTGCATACGTGCTGAATAAAATAGAGGGTTTTCGCACCGGCTGCGGTCTGACTGGAAGGGAGGGAGAAGAGAGAGGAGGGAGGAAGAGGAAGAGGAAGAGAGAGAGAGAGAGAGAAAGAGACAGACGGAGACAGACAGAAACAGACAGAGACAGAATGACAGTAAACATGCGAGGAGAAATTATTTACCAAGGGATAGAGGTAGTTAGAGATGGAGGGAGGGACGGAGGGAGGGACGGAGAGAGAGAAGGAGAGAGGGAGAGAGAGAAGGGAGATGGAGAGAGGTAGGGGGAGGAGAGAGAGAGGGAGAGAGAGGAAGAGTGAGAGAAATAGACAGACAAACACGGTGAAATGGACACAGACATGAGATGAGATGAGACAGAAAGAGAGAGAATGCAACCAAATGCAGGGATATGACAGATCGAGTACATAACATTTGTGATACGTAAAATCATCAAATTTGAAAAATATGTCAAGATTGAAAAATAGAGGAATGGTAACAGAAAATGAAAGATGAACAGGAAAATAAGAGAGTGCGATCAGAACCAAAAAGGAGAAAATTATGGGGGAGAAAAGGAATAAAATGGAATAACAGGAAAATAATGGAAAGGGAACAGAGCTAGATGAAAAGAAAAACAGGTTGAGGGGAAAAATAGAAGGGGAGAAAAATATCGAAAGAATACTTACGACTCTGAAGAAATTCTAATAGAGATCCATTGATCATGAGTTCAGTGACTATATAAATGGGTTGATCTCTGGTACACACAGCATACAGCTGAATCAACTTAGGATGTCTTAATTTCTTCATGATCTGGGCTTCTTTCAAGAAATCGTCTGTGTTCATCGTATCTGCAAAATAATTCAGAAAAAAGGAAGAAAATGTGAATGGTTACATCAAACAAATGTCTTTTTTTTAAATCGAAAGGGTGAACTGATTCTGCTTATTTAACATCACATAAAATGTTGATCAAGAGAGAAAGAATATACATGTATTGTACATGTACTGTATCATCTTCTTTTTCCATATCTGTCAAACTGCTAAATTTCCATTCTTTCTACTTCCTCTTACTTTCATTACTGGTTATTGTTATGATACTACAAACAGAATAGCATCATTCGACTTCAATGTATAATGGTCTGGACAGAAATTATCACGTATATAACAAAAAACATATCTTGTTTCAAAGTGGAAGTATCGATTTGCTTTGTGCACATGCTGCCCTCCCCATTTGCCTGTCTCTCAAGCACCCTCTCTCTCTCTATCTTTTTATCTCCCCCCCCCCCCCTCTCTCTCTCTCTCTCCTTCTTTCCACCACCTAAACAATGTAAACCAATTAAGTTATCAGCCATAATTTCTGGTGCTAAGCATAGTTGTTAGCAGTTGCCACACCCATTCTAAACAGGGGATTTCCCTTTGAGGTAATGCACACAGGTCACCTCAGGTCACCTACAATAGCCCATGAACACACACACAAAGTGAGCGTTCAAGCATACATGTCTTTAGGAGTAGATTCAAGATTTTTTGTTGAGTCATCCAACCAACTTTATTTGAAACCTCAACAGTTATTACATGGGGTTGGATACAGCGAGGGTATTGTGTCTCTAGATACAAAGAAAATCAAAGAACAAACCTGCCTCTGTCTATCTGTCTTTCTGTCTCTCTCTGTCTCTCTCTGTCTCTCTCTGTCTCTGTTTATCTCTCTCTCTCTCCCCCCTCTCTCTCTCACACACACTCTCTGTCTCTTTGTCTTTCTGTCTCACTCTCTCTGTCACTCTTTCTGCCTGTCTCTCTTTCCCTCTGTCTCTGTTTCCAGCACTACCCTTCTCTTGGCCTATTATGTATTTCCTTTTCATTACAGATAATTACAGTTCATGTGTGAACCGAGACGGTTGGTCACAGGTTAATCCATGTATGTAATGAGTTTCCCATGGGACAATGTATCAGCACACACACACACACACACACACACACACACACACACACACAAGGTAACCCCATAGAATAGACCGTCACTGCCAGGAAAAAGGGCATACCTGTCAGAGCTATGTATTATCAATGGTAATAACGCCCTTCTAGCAGGAAGCCAATGATTACATTAGACGTAAATGGGACTTCTTCTCAAGACAAGGTTGAATCTGTTGTACCTTCATCATGGACTGCGTGTGCATGTGGTCTTACACACTGTGACAATCTTTCAGCAGATAGGCTTTGATTTGACACATTTCCAACTCTAATCAAAGAGACATTTTCTGCTTGCATGAGTTCAATTTACAAAGACTACGGGTGGTATTCTCATAAGTTAAGCCGGGACTAAGTCCAGACTAAACAAGAATTTTAGTTCACACTTCTATGGAATGCTAGGTTTCATCTTCCTCCTTCAATATTCATGACAAAGATAATCTACCAAAAACTTTGTTGAAATTCAGTTCATACTCATATTATCTTTTTCTTCCCATTTCATTGCAAAATTAATTTTTTGAACACTTTTCATTGAAGGATTAAAATAATCTGTACAGGGTAAATTAGTTTGCAACAGGCACTCCATAGAAGTGTGAACTAACTAAGTACGCGCTAACTTAGTACGCGCTACCGGAATACCACCCTACATTTTTAAATGAAAGATACAGGTTTGAATACGAAGCTTAAATCCTAGACTGGATTTGGCTCAAAGAGTATTTAAAGCCCCACTGCACTACTTATAGCTACTTGCACCCTCTATATAGCTAACAATGCCTAATCGGTGCCTGTTGGTTTCCCATGATCCCCTTTTTCTTATGTTAATTGAGAGCTGATTTGATGAGATAACCACCTGTCAGTGACCTTGCAGGGAGATATAATTCCCCCTGGCCAAACTACCGGGTAGTGCAGATGGGCTTTAAATCTTAGACTGGATTTGCCTCAAAGAGTATTTAGATACTACTGTACAAACCATGCAACCAAACAATGTTTTTAAAGTGAAAAAAAAATATTGTCCCAGAGATATTTGCTAAAATTATCATCAGTGACAAATGACAGTTTTTGTTACAAGCTTCTGATATTCTTGCTTCTGATTGGTTATGAGCAGATTTGTCACTGTTTTTTTTTACATTTGTCATTGATAAAAGGCTTTGTGAAACGGACCCCATACATTAATTATTTTGGACTGCAATTGCAAATGCCTGGAGATGTTTAATATTACTTGTACATGTAGGACTAATACAATCTAGGCTTGATCTAAATTCCAAAGTCATTATGATGTACAATGTAGGTGAAATCGAGTACGGGGGGAGGGGGAGGGGGGAGGAGGGGGGGGGGGGGTGCATGAGTGCATGACGCATATACTGTAGGTCTACCGCTATAATGTAAACAACAATGAGAAAATCTGTTTTATAAATGTAAGTATGTGTTCAAATACAGGACTTCCGGTACATGTTCATGATTGTTCAGCTCCAATCAGACAGTGATAGCCAACTTCCTAACCGAGAACAAAGCAGGAGTTGTATGTTCTCAAGCAATACATTTTTACCACAACAATTAACCCCAAGATGTAAGAAAGAGCATTGATGGTAAATATGTGCATCCTGATTGAGTTGGTATAAAAGGACCTACTGTTTATTGAAAAGTGAAAATGTGAAAACCTTTCTCAATCTCCCAAACCCTCATTCAAGAAATATATACATATTAAAAATTTAAAAATTTCTAGCATGATCAAAATACAACCTGTATATTACATTCTACACAATATCTCTCTAAATATGGATTTTTTTCCCTATCAAGCGCTTTGATATTTCCCTTTAATATTTCTCATCTGCATCAAATGCCATTAATATTCTTCCCTTCACTCCCCCCTTTGCCTGTGGGTGAGCTGGAGACACTAATATGGCTAGGATTTAGGATAATGCATTCATTTGGTAATGATGTTCAGCTAGATCCCTGGTGCCACAACTCATTGCGAAACTCAGGCACAAATGCAAGTCGGTAGTCTTCCAAATCATACCATAATCAGATCAGATTGGTTTGATGTGATTTTAGTAATGAGAGAGAGAGAGAGAGAGAGAGATATTTTGATGTGCAAATCAGAAGAATTCTTATGATACTTCTAAATAATCTTCTGTGTACCTTTTATCTTTATTGACTTTATCTAGTTGAACCTAAAAAAAATATCCCAATTATTTCAATTAACACAACACCTGTGTTGCAGATATCATCTACAATGCTTTTCCCTATCCTCCTGGTATAGATATATATAGATATATATATATATATATATATATATGTACATGTAACTGGGTGCTTGGTGGAATGCAAAGGTGATTGGATCAGTAATTGAAAAAGGAAAATTGCTACACAAAAAGCTGGGCGTACTTAACTCCGGGCAGCTGCACGTAATGTCTAATGACATGTAAAAGTTTTAAATTAAACCAAACTAAATAACAACAAAAAAGTTCTGAAAACTACAAGTAAAAGAATGAAAAACCATAAAGCACATGGTACAAATGAAACTTGATTAAAATGACTGAGAGCTAATTAATCTCACTTCTATAATATCAAAGTACTACGACTACTACTGCATGAGCTCCAGAGTAAAGCATTTGTTTAAATAATACACTGTCCTAATTCTTTAATATATCCACTAAAATTACATTGTTTGTTTCCAGGAATGGATGTCTTGCAGTTATTTATCAGACAACAATTCAATTCAAGAATAATTTATTTTGATCATAAATTTGCATCAAATACATGTAGGAAGCATTTCTTGGCCCACTACAATGAAGAGCCACAGAGTCTGGTGTCGTGCACTGACCGGTGCCATGCCTTCACATTACGATGGTGCTCACATACATCACATGGAGCCAGCAGATATCACCCGATTCAATCATGACGATAATGTCTACATAATAGTTTTTTCACATGTATTAATAGAGCTACTAAAATTACATTGTTTGTTTCCAAGAATGAATGTCTTGCAGGCTGCTGTATTAGACAACAATTCTCTTCAGGAATAATTTATTTTGATCATAAATTTGCATCAAGTAGGGATTATTCTGATTCTTTGCCCAATACAATGAAGAGCCACAGAGTCTGGTGTCGTGGACTGATCGGTGCCATGCGTTCACATTACGATGGTGCTCACATACATCACATGGAGCCAGCAGTTATCACCGGATTCAATCATGACGATAATGCCTAGTTTCACAGTCCAGACACTCCTCGTTTGTCACACTGGGTGTCAATGATGAGACAGTTAGGTTCTACAAGAGAGGCTTCGGAAACAATTTCTCTGGGTCAATATCCCACACTTACTAACTGAATTCCTAACTTCAATGCCGCACCAAACATAACGCTATAACCCTAAACCGAATCCTAACCCTATATAAACCTGATCTTAAACCGAATTGCAACCCTATCTTTAGATTAGAACCTAAATCTTTTAAAAAGTCTGGAGCATTTGTTGGGTAAACTTCAGTAGTTGGATTTTTCACAGAGAGCATGATCAGACTCGATCTGATATTATTAAACTTTAAAAAACATTCCTCAGTGTACCAGCTATAGAAAAGGGTATTGGAATGGATCTACTGTTGAGTTGGCTTGACAAAACAGGTTCAATGTGGAAGCTTGGATTATTATTGGTGCGATTTCATCGTATGTTAGAATGTATAATGCAGTGGTTTTTTAGGCATGGACATTTTGGGGGAAAATCCCTCTGCAATTTCTGGTGTCAGAGGGTAAAAAAAGCATGTTATACTTTAATACTGAAAACCCATTGAGAAACATTTAAATGTAAGCTCCGTGAACATAATGCATGTCTGTATAAATATGTAGCAAATAATTTTTTCTTTAATCTAGACAGGTGAGACAGATGTTGATT